TTTATCCAGTCATACTATAAGGAGCAGGATATTGTCACGAATGAAAAATGATGAGGCGACGAATAACTGAAGAAACTAAACGTTTAATGGGGCGAACTGGTGCCCAAAACAAAATAGAGAAAGACTAGAGTCGCAGGCGTCGATGTCGGCAAACCAGCAGGATCGAGCACTGCGGCGAAACTGACTCTGGAACACCACACGCAGCACCTTTTGTACCCGCGTGGATTACTGGAACATTCGGCGCGTAGAACATTTGTAACTCGATCAGACGACAAGGTTTTCGAACTTGCGAGAATGTCAAGTTGAAAGAATAAATAAAAAGAGGAGTCCGCTCTCTGGAATCGAGCCCGGAGCCGCCTCCGCGCGAGATCCAAGCGCGGCAACCATTCGGCCACGCATTCGCTCTGCAACGCGCGTGGCAATATCACTGATAATGTTACAAGACATCTCTGGCCCCTGGAACAAAAAGAAAGGTCGCTTTGGGGAGGAGATCAGACTGTGGCGCCCCAAGCGGTTAACTTTAGAACTACATGGATGAGGACAACAAATAGAATGACTCAGCGCTCGGCTGACATGACCGAATGCGGCGTCAGCGTTCGGCTGGAGCTCGTGTTCTCTGGTGAGGGGGAGGAAGGGCTTTTTTGTTACCACTCCGGACCGCATGAACAATGCAGCATGCACGGTCCTCAGCTCAGCACAAAAGCGGAAGTGGGTCAAGCTCGCATCCCCTGACGAGTGCTTTCGGGAGAGATCCGGCACTTATATAACGTCACTTCGTTTATTGTTAGTATTTTTACATTACACTATGCCCTGCTCTCTATTGAAGAAAATGACATGGACATTCCCACAAGGCCTGTGGGCAGGGGTTTCCCCAGGAATTGAAATCAGGGGGGGTGTCTAAATATTTTGGGGGGATTAAAGGGGGGAGGGGGGCATTTCAAATGTAGGAGTTGTTGTGAATTAAGGGGGTGCCTTCGGAAAAACGAGGGGGGGTCCTAACCCCCCTAGGGGGGGGTCTAGGGAAATCCCTGCCTGTGGGGCATGTGCACAGGCTTTGTGTTGGGTAAACACCGAGGTGTGGGGACAACAAACGGGACAAAGCGCCTCGCCAATAGTGACATCGCTGAATATCACGTCCTGCGCAGCACCTTAGCCGTACCGTTTAACTACGTCCATACTCTTTATATGGGGAGTTCACTATAAACGAACTTGGGATACGGATATGAGTGAATGGATAACAGAAAGAATCCACAGAATAGCCACGGCAGTGGTCGCACCTTCAAGTATAGGTTGCCTTCAGAAAGGCACTCAATGCTGGGGGACGCTTCATTGGCATTTTGAGTGGTCCAGCTCGTAGTTCATTTCCTGACCTGTTCTCTGCTTAGAAGGCAACTCCGCTTCATTTTTGATATTTAGAAAACTATGTAGCCCTCTTCAGTATCATATAGGAAGACTCCATGTCAAATATTACGATCTAATTCCGTTTATATATTTAATAAACTGACCAGCAAACCTTCAAGCGAGCCAAGTCGCCGAAATCTGCCAACTCTAGCGTGCGGCGCGAGGCGCAATCATCAGCGCAGTCAATGCCACGGAGTTGGAGCGGCCAACGTTGAACCACTACGTCAGAGGCATGTGAACGTCATTCTCACGTTCTGTTTGTTTTTACTTCTCAGAGCGAAATTGAACGATGACGTCATGAGTTTCTCCTCCCGGTGTTGGCTGACCGGGCCTTCACGTGATCACCGTAACACGGATGCGCTAGTTTGCGCTGCTCTGCGCGCTTATCGGTCTGTTTTTCCGCTCCCCTTCTCTTTCGTCTTCTCCTCTTCCTCCTCTCCCCCGGGCCATCACCGTCCACGCCATGCGAAGCGACCTACCCGCGTCCAATAAATAAAAAATAAAAAAAGACCTGCCCGCGTCGCGTGTCCCGTTTCTCGCTCCCTCCCGAACGCATGGAGAATAGAAGGGTAGGAGAGGGCATGACGTCGGCCGCGTAGCCTCCGCAAGCCATGCTCCCTTGACGCCTCGCCTCTTTCTCATTTTCCTCCTTACTCTCCTCACTTACCTTGCCAACGTGACCACATCACGTGACCGTGGCTAGCCTTCGTCTTGGTATGGGGTACTAGAATACACCACAGTCTAGACTTCGATCTGATAAAACCTACCGGACGGAGCGCGCGCAAGCCTGCGAGGAGTCCTTCTACAATCAACCATCCATCTCACACGTGACATGTCACGCGCACCAATCGCCAGAGAGATCTGCGGTCACGCTGGGCACAAAATAGTTTAAACTTTTTATGACTAGGCTTCACCAATATTGCAACGTGCCCCCTCCTAGTACTTCTAACCTCCTTGCCCGAACGTCAGAAGACCACGTGGTTCGACGTCACGTGACCATGACTCTGACGGCCCGAGACCAATGTTGCCTGACGCAACCGAAGTTTCGGTTTCGGTATCTGCTGATGTTTAAATTAGGATTACACAAATAATATTCCACATTTCGCGAATCCGAAGACGTAGAGTTGTTTAGTAGTGCTTTGTAAATGTGAATCACATGGAAGCCTAAATTTTTCGGAATTGAGCGGAGTTGCCCTTTAACAATGATCATTTACAGACAGTGTTTGCCAGACCAATAAGTGCCGGACTGACGACACAACAAAAACGAAAAAAAACCTTGATGTTTTGCGGTAGCGTTTTCAAATATACAAGCAAAAAAGTATTATTTTTGTGTCCACTTTTTTTTTTTTAGGCGCAAGTCTGCAATGTTGTTGTAGGTCGTTTCTCGGTCTGTGTTGAGCCTCAGTGCGGCAATCTTTACTTCCATTAAACCACCCCTTTTGCTTGAGGATTTTTTGGGGGAAACTCTAGGAAACATAAGGCGCCTTTGGGAAGGCGAGGGGAAAACTTTCATTGCACAAACTTTGGGTTGAAATATGAATCAAAATCGGCAAAAAAGCGATGTTTTCACGAGCTGAATCATTTGTTCGTGCCACGCCCACACCACTTCATGCCGAAAAAACTCGGAAAATGGCGGAATGTTAAAAATGTATTTGAGATAATGAGTACAAGATACTCAGAAATGTAATTAAGACAGAGTATCAAATACTCTCGATCAAAAGTATTTGCAAGATACTAAGATACTTCAAAAAGTATTTGAAATACAGTATCTTGAGTAGAGTATTTAAGATAGGTACAAGTCCGCAGAGGCTATAACTATCTGTGAGGCCAACGAGCTCACCTTTCTTCTCAACAAAGTGCCAAAACCATCGGATCAGTACCTGCGGGATTTCTTCACGGCAAAAACGCATAAATAGAACACCCCTTTCAGAGGCATTGTATCTGAGAGCGGCTGCTGGCAGAGGCACCTGGCCCTCTTCCTTCAGAAACATTTGACAGCCGTCCCTCCCGATCAGCCTTTCCAGGTAGGATGTTCCCTCGAAGTTCTGCCCTATCTCCGGGAACTACACTCAGCTGGGTCGGACGCCGCCATGTTTTCCCCCTATGTCACCAACATGTATTACAGCCTCGACGTGGTGGTTCTGATGGCTTGCATTGAACGGGCTGTCACGCAATCCGGAGTGGCCAAGTTCCAAAACTCAACTGGCATCACTCGAGGCGTTCCTGCAGCTTGTCAACGTATACCTAAGATCCACCCTTGTACAACACCAGGGAAACATCTACAGGCAGAAGTCTGCCATTTGCATTGGTTCCTGCCTGGCCCCCGTTTTAAGCGAATTCTACATGTCAACGGTGGACTTGGCTGTGGAGAGCTTGGCGTCAAGGCGCCGGGAACCAAGGTATTCGGTTTGTCGACTACCTTGTACTCCACACCCCCAGCACCCCTTCCGCTTCCATCGAGCAGGTTTTCTGAACCCACACCCAAGGCCCCCAGTTAACCCAGATAAGACCCTTCGGACGGAGAGTCGCAGTTCCTCGATCTGTGCCTGAACACCAATCCCAATGGACTCTGCTAGGGTTTCCAGCAGCTGTCCAAGAAGCCCGTGCTACCGTTCGGAAGCAACCATTCAAAAACTGTGAAGTCCAGGATTGTAAGATCCCTCCTTTCCTCATCCCGTGCCAAATCTTGTCCCCACTTTTCTCAAACCAGCTTAACTGCCCAAATCTGTCGCCTCCAGAAGGCTAGGACTACGTCTTGGAAACCTCACCATGCAACGCCTCCAAGCGACCTACTTGCGACATCTAAAAAAAATCTCTGATCTCCCAGTCTCACCCGCCGGTATGATGTCGATGTTTCTAGTGTGCCAGCAAATGTTTCTTCCAGTGATATATTAATGCAACAGCAATACTGCAAATAGCATCATACTAGCACTGGGTCTTTTCTGAATTGCTTGGGCATGCGCCGCAGTAACAGAGGGATATCCGCCATGCCATGTGGCACACTTGCGCAGCATAATCAGCAGTCCTGCGAAACCGGCAAGGTAGGAAAATGCTCCTCGCGCCCTTCCTCTTTTCACCCTCTCCCAAAAGTCACGTGACGGCAGGGGCTTCTTTTGTGTTGGCTTTTCCTGTAGGGATAATCCTCAAAAAGCGCAAAATGAGCGGCTAGCTATGAGCCCCGCAATGACCTTGAGACTTCCAGGTGTCTTCCCTCGTTGAGGCAGGCATGCTCAATCCACGATACTCAGCGCGACCGATTGCTTTTTTCCATGAGCTGCAGGCCAGAGGCCTCTCGGTCGGTGGAGATCGAGGGGCCGTGGTGTGCTGGGCCGTGGGGCACTGGGCCGTGGTGCGCTGGGCCGTTCCAGCAGCCGCCGTCTGGCATTGCGCGGCTGCTGGAACCCAGGATCCCTGGGTTCTGCAGCGCGAGCTTTCATTCCATGTGCTTTAAGCTGGTGTGCGCTACCCCACCTGGCCACCGGTCCCCCTTCAATATTTTAATTTCTACCTCAACTTGTGTAAATTGCATGCCCTCTTAGAGCTCCACAAGCAGCCCGTAAGTCGTTGCAACAGAAGACACCTTTGTTAACAAAAACAACTCAACATCCACAATGTTTTATTGTGCAGGCTACTTTGGCCACACCCAAACCCTTGGCAATTGCTCTCGTCCCTCAGCAATGACACAACCTTCATCTATCGACACAAACACCTTCGCCCCCACACACAAAGCCAACAACTACGCACTGCAATATTTACAACCGGAGAGGCTAAAAAAAATTAAGCGAAGCACTGGCCACCCTCTCAAACAAAGTCACGGGTCGGAAAAAGAGACGCATTTGTCGTACTACTATTCAAGCGTGAGCACAACACCGAACCTTCTTGAGGAACGCACAGCTGAGTCTCACGATCGAGACACCTTGTCACTCCGCGTGTAGCGCCTCCCAAAGCAAAACGTTTGCACTAATGGCACCAGTAGTTTCGTAAAGGGAAACCACGATGCCCGGGGCATCTGTCCCCCGCTTGCATGGCAGACGGCGGGATCCAGGGCACCGCTGGGCGCCCGTCGAATCGGCAAGGAATGAACAACCTTCGATTCAACCTAGAGTTGACCTCCGGTCGACCTTCAGTTGACCTTGGCTTTGGGTTGCGAAAACAGGGCAACCAACCTCTGCACATGGTGGAAGTTCTGCACAAGGAAAAGAAGTGCTTGTCCAATCGCCAATCTAAGAGGTTGCGGATGGCTGGAACCAATCTATTTAGAAGCGGCATACTTACGACGACGATGAGGTAGACCGTGCCGAGGTACGCCCCAATCAGGGCCGCCAGGAAGAGATCGAATACGGCTGGCTTTACGCTGCGTGAAAGTAACGTTGCCACAATATGCCTCGAAGCTCCCCATTTAATATCTGGCTGTACGGTTGAAGTGCACCCTATAGTCCGTTGCAACTCGAGAAGATAGGGCGAGGGAAAGGAAGGCCGGGGAGGAGGAAGCAGACGGAAAGCTCGAGAGAGGAGGTTTCCCACCCTTCTCTCCAGCGTTCCGTCTGCTTCTTCCTCCCCAGCCTTTCTTTTCCTTGCCCTACCTTCTTGAGCTGCAACTTACAATAGCAAATACTTGAAGACTAAATAGGTGTACAAGTTACAAAGAGCCTCTAATGGTTGCAACGTAAACTGTAACAGAAATAAATTATTGGAATTAAATCTAGGTACGGCACAACCCAGTCAAACTCTCTTAATGTTGTTTCCGTTCACTGCCCAACTTGAGTTTCCGATAGGTCCTTACAGAAAATAAAATTCACATAAATGCAACCTTAAAAATAGTTTTGTGAGAATACATGCACCTTGATATTAAACTTTTATCACATCCATCATAGGATTTTGACTATATTATTTTACAGATATTTTTTGGGTACTAGCAAGTAGTTGCTAACGTCGGTAAGCGGTAAACCTCATGCCCCATAATGCACGCAGCCTTTGTGAAGCAGACAGATGCAGAACAAAGGGAGGGAGCACAAACCTGTACGCATTCATGACCGCAACCGCAGTGTCGTAGAACACGAGCTCGGGATCCCTGAAACAACACAGGAGTAAAGGCACAAACAATTAGAGTCTTATAACAAAACGGAAAACAAAATTTGGGGGCAGTCGTGCCAAAGCAACAAAAAGCGTCTGGTGTACCCACCCAACGGAGTACTAAAGATGCCTCTAGAAAAAAAAAAAACACTCTTGCCTGTGGACTATGCTACAAGTCTCCATCCAAATCCAACGTCAACTCTACTCTGAGAAATCTCGAATCTACTCTCCTAAGTAGCACCGACAACCAATCGCCACAGTCTTCGGAGGAGTCACGGCAAACGACGGGACAGGAAGCATGTTCAGGCCTAAAACAAATACACCCCACACCGCAATGCCAAGCACAAAATGGCGTCGCAACACCCAACATTAAAGCGCAGGCGTTTTTCTCTTTTAGGCCTAAACGAGTTTCCAGCCTCGTCGTTCGTCCAGCTCCCTTCGTAGACCCCAGCGATTGGCTCTCTCGAATTCTTCGTTGAGAAGTAGACGCCCCAGAGTTCTCAGAGTGAACAAGAGGCATATAAAAGCTCGCAAACTCGCGGAGAAGCACCACGAAGCAAGTCCGTCTTTTATGCTCAGCGTTACAGTTTTTGGAACGCGTCTCCACCTACAGTCGGTGACGGGTTAGGAGCAAAGTGGAAGCCCCTCCCACCTCTCTCCACCTTAGCAGAGTGAACGCTGGAAAGAGGTGGGAGGAGCTTCCACTTCACTTTTAACCTGTCACCGACTACAGTGCGTTTCCCGTCCCATCTCGCACGTGCATCGAAAGTGGTCCCGGAGTGACCACAAATGGCACGTCGCACCGTCGTGGTCCTTGCGGCCGCGCATAGAAACGCCGGCGAAAAAGGTGGGCGGACGCAGAGGCCGCCAGCCACCGCATCCTGTCTCGCATCTACTCCGTCTTTCGTCGACAGTCCGGCCGCGGAGCGATGCTTCCGCGATGACTTCGGGCAGAAGTCGAGGGACCACCCGCGGCACCGGCGCCGTTTGAACACGAGGCGGGTGAAGGCGGGCACCTCTTGTCCGGCCGGAAGGTGGACGCCTTGACCTCCTTGAGGTGCCGGCCGAGCCCCTGCTCGAGGGTGGCCACGAGGGGCGACTTCCCCTTGGCCAGGAGCTGGGCACCCCTCGGCTGGCTCGCCAGGAAGTCCACCCACGCGCCCAGGTAGTCCTCCTGCAACGCCTGCAGACGACGCGGGCGTCCCGCCCCAAAATGAGTGCGCTTTTGCCTCGACGTTGCGTGCCATTTTGATTTGGGGGAATAGGTTAAGACAGTGGTTCTCAACCATAGCTGTTTCGGGAATCCCCTCTGGGTCAGCAGTATTGAGGGGAACCCTATCCACTGGGATGGGGGAGTGTATTAGACGACTGTACAATGACGAAGGGGTAAGTGAATTAAAACTTGGGTTTGGGCGAGTTAGTTCATACTGATATAAAAGGTTAAAAAGCGCAAACAAAACAAGGACAATAAAGGCAGAAAGACGACAGGTGGGCAGCCCATGTGTCTTCAGGCAGCTCTTGCAAAAAGTTGCAAACAGAGGATGGCCATCAGTTTTGCTCAGCGAGTAAAAAGGTTAAAAAATGTCAGGTACCCACCTAACCTAATTTCGAGCTGCTGTGAGAGCTTACTTCAGAAAATAAAAAGAACTAGCCTACAAGGGCAGGCAAATAAAGTTAGAAGACATGTACGTGTGATTCCATATTCGCATAAAGTGTCCCGCAACATTAAGAAGATAGCAAGCGGATACGATATGAACATTGTTTTCTCGGCCCCTTGCAAGCTCTCGAAAACCTGTCCGACGCTTACACAGCATAAAAAAAGCGCTCTGATCTAAAAAGTATGCAGTGCAGTACACTGAATGTGTCAGCAATGTCGTATACGAGATACCGTTAAGCTGTCGAAAAGTTTACATCGGGCAAACTGGCAGCTGTTTTAACAACAGGGCACGGGAACATAATCTTTCTGTGCGCAACAATGCAGGGGGACATCTTGCTCACCACTGCACACGATGCACTGACTGTAAGCCTTTTTTTGGCTGAAACAAAGTTTTAAAAAAAAGCAAGAGATTAAACCGAGGGAGAGATTATAGAAGTGTTTTACATTGTAGGGACCCTTCCCGCGGCCGCTCCTCCAAGCCCCGTTTTTCCCTGCTTTCCCCTCGCCCTCTCGGCCGTTCTTCTGGCCCCCCTTCCCCGCTCTCCCGGATCCCCGACGAGTGAGCGTTATTGCCTGGTGCGTCACCCCTGTTCGGGGAGCGCGGGGGTGGTATGTTGACAGGTCGTGGGGACACACGTGATCGGCCGGGGTCGAAGCTATGAAAAGAGGAGGCGGGACACTGGGGGGCTCTCTCTCGACTCCGGACTGGTCAGTGGTGGCCGGACGGACGACAGCGACGGACGGGGACTCTTCAACTTTGTGAGTTGGTAAACTGTGTTTACCACGCACAGTGCTGGGTAACTTCTTGGGGAGCGAGCGAAGCACGACCCGGTCGGGCGTCGATTGGGTTACGACCCACATAATCTGGCGCCCAAAGTGGGGCCCAATTATGTGGGTTTCTATGGGAGGAAGCTCCCTGGAGTTCAAACTTCGCTGTATTCAAACAAATTTTTGGTCCCCCTCGAGTTTCAATTAATGAGATTCGACTGTATTTTTAAGGTTCGATACGAACTGGGTACTATACTGGCAAACATTCGTCCGGCCACTCCGCACCACGTGCGTCTCAGAAATGAGGTCGGAAGTTGCGCTGCACTGGCCCAATCGCGCCACCGCAGTTGGGCCAGGCCAGTGCAGGTGGCGCAGTTGGGCACTGGCCAACTGTTGACTTTGGATTATAGTCGACGAGAGGATGGAGAATGAAATGGTAAGAAGGTCTGTCGGTTGCACCGCCTCCGGCGCGAGCGTCCGACTCTCGGTAACGCTTTGGCGTCTCGCAGGAGACGAGCCCACGCGCGTGGCCAAGGCACGGCAGAAGGCAACGGGCGCACGACGGAAGCCCGACATTCGAAAAAGGATGCCCTGCCGTTCTTGCCGGTTCGTGGCTAAAAGACGGACCGATGGCACATTTTGGGCTTCAACGCTATTGGCTGCCTGCATGCTTAATTTAAAGCAAATATGGATTCTCTTTTGGAGCCTCTGGTCGCATTCAACCACCGCAACAAGGACCTTGGATGCACACTTTTTTGCTGTTTTCGTAGTTTTCGGTGCGAGCATACTCGCATTTGCGTACAGCAAACCTGTGCCCTAAAAAGAGACTTTTCACGAAGGAATGTTTGTTACTGAATTGTTACTAACCACAAGTACAGCTGCCCAGGCAAGTTCCACTTAGGTTCAAATGGCCAAGATGAGATTGTTCGCAGATGCGTTCTAAAGAAATCAACAAGAAGCTCCCACTCAATTTCCCGATTAGAGGAATCTAGTTATGTGCGAATAATAGATCGAGTTTCAAGCGAATTCAAAGTTAATAGCGATTTTGGTAGAATAATTTCAAATCAAGTATCGAGTAGTTTTTTCGAGCCTTTCACTACCATGCACCGTGCTAAACAAAAATTCAGCTGCACTCGTGAGGGTTGTTTTTAACCTTCCACCCGTCCACTTCTAGGCCGAGTTAGTATAACTATGTTTATGAACTGTAGCACGTAAACAACATAGTTGTTGCAGCTATCATTATCAAGATTTATAAATCTACTTGCTATAAAAAAAAATATTTTTTCTTCAATTTGAGATTTTACAAAAAACAAAAAAAAAACACAAAAAAAAAAAAAAAGCACGAGTGCCAATGCCGGTTGTCAAGATATCACTACCAAAGATCTAGTACTCTCGATCTGTTCTGTTGAGTGCGCTTTTTGCCGAGCACCTGTGCACTGCGGGGAAGCGAAACCCGGGGAGCACTGGGGCTAACCCGCCGTGCCGCAACACTTCGAAAAGGACGAATATCGCAGTTCATCTCGAAGCAATTATCGAATAGCTTATTATTCGAAACTACTATTAAAAAGTTTAGTATAGCACAACGCTAGAGGAATCCGTACCGAAACAAGTTTTTTTAGCTTTTCAAATTTGCATGTAAAATGTCAGTCTCTGTAAAGGTTTGTCTAACCAAGTTCACAAAACGTAACTGCTCAACTGTATTCTCCCCAAGTTTCCCAGGTTCCTTGCTGGCATGCACCTCTTGGTAATGTGTACATCTTTAAAAAAAAAAAAAAATTGAACTGAATCCATTCAAATTCAATCGACAACCCACCAAGCTGTCCCGGAAAACCTCCACATCAGAGCCATCCAACGTGGTGTTGTAGAGAAGGCGCGCAAGCGCCTCGGCGATCACCTTCACGTTCCGAGCCAACTTGGCTGTCTGCACTTTCTCCCTGGGAAAGAGGTAGCAAACAAACAATTTGAGTCTCATCCAATTACCTGCAAGAATAGTAGTTGTCAAAACAGTAAGTCATAACAAGTTTCACATACTACGTCGGAATCATAGATAACGGGCCAGAGCCTTGTTTTAGGATGTTAAACAAGCAATTTTTTAGTAGAGGCAAATATTAAGAAGATGTTCAACTGTATGCGGAGCATAAGTTTGTCTGCTTGCACAGGGCTTGCGACAATGTTAGAGCGCCAAGCTTTTATTGGCTCATTGAAAACAATAGTGAATAGATCTCAAGGCACCTAGCATTGGGGTCTACCCACTATCCTTCCACTCAAGGCCAATCAGAACTCGGTGTCGTTCCGACGCCGCCGCAACCCCTGCGCGCGAAGCAGACGACTTGCCCTCCGCATGGCCCGCCAAAGTCTGACAGCATCATCTATGGTCGACAACGAATGGAATTTAAACCAAAGATCTACTCATAGATGTTCGAAGGTCGTCGAAGTTAGAAGGCCGGCCGGCGACAATTTTTGCATCGCCGCTCCGGTGTCGCACCTGGTGTCGAAGATGGAACTCCGGCTGGTGGCGCGGTGGCTGGGCAGCCGCGACACCGTGAAGGCCGGTAGGCGCCGCATGCTGAACCGCTCATGCTCCCAGGCCAGCACTTCGTCGGCCAGGTTGATCTTCTTGTGCATCATGGAGACCTTGAGCGGCGGCTCCATGCCCGCACCCACACGCTCCAGCTCCTGCGTTACGGGTCTCGACGTAAATATACCTCAAGCTGCGACGTGGGAGCGAGTATGTGGATCCAACGTGACGAAAATCTAGACAGGAAGTGCTAAGTCATCACCCGAGGGCGTAAGCGGGAATACCTGATCTCGTCGCCTGAATGACTAACGCGATATTCAACGCACGACTAGTTTGAGCGATGCCTTTTTAACAAATCATTCCTAGCGCCAACAATTGTAGACTGGAACAGTCTTCTGGAATCTCTCGTGTTAATCACTGATTCTGCAGTTTTTAAAAGCTCCACCGTCTTGCATTTTCGCTCTACGGATTAGGTTTCCAGTGGCGCTAATTTTCAGTTTTCGTTCGCGGCAGTGTATGCTGTTTCTGTTATCTTGTTGTTTGTTTCCTAAATTTCTTTGTATAATTTCTTGCGTGGCCCGCTCGTTGACTAATGCCCTGATGCCAAATGCCGTGGCACGCGCGAGTCGGTGTGTGTGCCCAACTGTCTGAGAGTTGCTCATGTTTGTTATGCACCCATAACTTTGCAGTTTCTGAACCTATTTTTAATGTTCGAGCGAAAATTGACTTGTCTCGTCGAACTGCATCGAATAGACAGGGAAATTCAAGAAAAATTTTGCTGAAAAATGTTTTATCTTGCAAGTTCCACTTTTTAGTGCTATTGAAACACGGTGGAGACTCCCCAGGAGTGCTTAGCCGCCTTCTCGTCCAAAACTGTACACCATTTATTTCGAAACTCCCAAAGAAACTAAATGGACGAGGCATTTTCATTAAACGTCGGTCGAGAGTACATTAGTGCTCCCCGATCTATACAATTCGCTAAGCTAGATTCGACGAATTCGTTTACCAAGATTTCACTTCAACGGTGGATGCTCCCCAGGCTAAAACAATGTGCCATGACAAGACAAAACTCGCTCAACCTGTTCCCAGAAGGCCGAAGGTTCCCCAGGATAGCCTCACAGGTTCCCAGCTCCAAAACTTTCATAGACTGTCACCTAGGGTTACCAACTCTTCAATGAAGGAAGTCGGGAAGGGGGGCTGGTGAAAGGGAGGAGGGAGGAGACACAAAGGGGTTTATACAAGTGATGATGATGATGATGATAACAGGCTCCCACCACAATTTCCGGCTTGCCATTGCTCTTGCATGCTAAAGTGGCTGAAGCCTCGCAGTCAACGTCAGACAGTGCACCATTGCTTTGTGTAATTTGTGCAAACTTCGTGTTTCACAGCATGGCGAGCATCGTTGGGCGTACGTTGGATCACATACAAGATTTCTAACTCGACCGTCTGAACCAAATACGGGACATATAGCTGTCCCGACACGGATCATGCGGGACTTGGGATGCTTTATGAAAAGTCGGGACAGTCCCGCGAAATTCTGGACGATCAATAACCCTTATGTCACCACCTCTAGGTATAGTATTTTTCCAGCTTAAGGCCTATATTAGCAGATCCGAGTCACCCATTGTGACATTTGGTTATAAGCCATACACTCCCTAATAGCATGGTTTGTAGGTTCCTGCCCTGCTTTACTGCATGCCAAGATCGAGAGGGGTACTTGGCCAAAAATCGAGAAAGATGAGGGCCTCTCGACGTCGAAACCTTTGCGAGCTCCTGCTCTAGGACACGTCTCTTTAGGTGAGACTAAGTTAACGAGGTCGATGCTTTCGAAATCTTGTTACGTTGATCCATCCATTAGTATTGTAGATACTCATGTATAAGCTGCCCTCATGTATAACTCGCACCCCCCACTTCATGCAAAAATTTAAAAAGAAAAGAAATTTATAAGGTGCTTAAAACGAAAGTTTCGCCCATCACCAAAGGCCTAGTCCTGCGAAGCACCGCAAGATGGCGCTAGCTAGTTTTTGCCATTTGCCGCACATTACCATCATCGTTGTGCGACACGACACTTCCGCTGCTTCTGTCTTCAGTTTTCCACGGCGACTTGCCAGCGCCATTTTGTCTTTGTTATCGGTGTGTGGTTTGGAAGCACGTGCACTGCTTGCAGAGCCTCATGGGATACAGTGGTACATAAATAAACCAAAAAAATGTGGCTTTTTTTTTGTTTGAATTGTGTATAACTTGCACCCCAGGAGAATTTTAAGAAAGAGTGCGGCTTGCAAACAAGTATATATGGTATTTAGGTGTTCAAACGCATTCGAGCTCCCTAAAGCCTTGGAGAGGAGGCAAATTCACTCTACTCCTCTCCAGCAATCGCTTGCTAAGGCGGAAAGAACGGGGGAGCACTGCGGGGAATGCTTGTGCTCCCCTTCTTAACCCGTTAACGGGGCGCGGTCGTAGAGTTTGATCGACCCTCTCCGTGTCGAGTTACCGAGCCGCCACTCACGGCAAAGAGTCGGGCGGCGGCAGAGCCCTCCTTGGGCGGCTTGGAGACGTGCAGGTAGAGCTCGTCCCCGGAACCAATGGAGTCGAGGCACATGGTGAAGAGGGAGTCGGCCAGGAGGCTCCCCTCTGCGCAGGCACAAACAGACAGATGCACGTGTCATTATGCAAATTCAGAAACAGAATCGTACAAAAAGCTTTACGTGTGTATGTATGTTGTGCCTTCTATGTCTGCAGTATCGGCATTTTTGTCATTACAAAAAGCTCGGTGAAAGGTATGTAAAAATAAACTTTCAGCCTTTCCACTCTCGTGAAGAAGTAAGACCAGCGAAGCTGCACTATGGTGGAAATTAAGTATTTATATAAATGTAAGGATTAAGGTGCGATTGGGTACGATTATGTAACAACCGTACTCTCCCCAGTTGTCTTTGTTTTTACCACATTAACCGCCAAAGGCTCATGAACAGGAGTCGAGGCGTTCTTAGTCGTTCATCCACCACGCTCAACCTTGGTCGGTCCTCCGGTACGGGTGGGTACTTGAAGCCATTCACGGTCGCAAACCGGGGCACCGCGCCTTTGAGCAGGAAATCTTGGCACGTTCTGCATGCCGGTTCTTTGTAGACGTCCGCCAACTCAATACACTGCCGCAACGCGCGCGCGATCGTTTCCCGCTTCTTCTTGTCCGAAACGCCACCGATCCTGAATACGTCTCCGGCGAACCAGAGTCGGTCACACACGGCACACGTGACGCCAAACGGGTTCTCCACGAACTCCCTCCGGAACCTTGCCGTCGCCCCCGGGAACTGTTCAGCCGGCGTGGAGTGCTGTTGTCGCCGGGCCTCACGCTTGCGCGTGGCCTCCGCAGCACGATCGTCATCCGTGACATGAGCCCGCCGGCGCCCTTTACATCGCTGGTTCTGTTCTCAGCGGCGGCTTTCCAGGCGAGCGATGTGCTCTTCTTTCGCAATGTGCTCTTCTTTCGCAAGGGAGTCTGAAGCAGTAGACGCAGTGGAAGTCGAGGCGACAGCGGCTTCGCGTCGGTTGAGCTCCCCATTTGCGCTGCTGCTTTAGTCGCCGATCCTTCCGCACCCAGTCTTCTTTCCCCGAAAGGGCACGCGGCCAACCCATCCCGCGTCCAAACCGAAACTGATAAGAGCGTAGGAAACAGCGCGCAAAACAGACGAGGACGAAGAAACACATGTGATGAGTGCTGCGCTCGTCTCGTGTGTTTCCTCTTCGTCCTCGTCTGTTGCTTGCACTGTTTCCTACGATAAATTCCCTCCAACGTGCCCAAGTATCTATTATTCTATGATAGCTGGAAAAGTTGCCGCCATCTACGAGCGACGGCAGCAACGAGACTGGTTGTGTGCTTGCCGCCGTCACTTATAGATGGCGGTAGCTCTCCAAAAGTTTGTGTAGGTTTGTGTCGACATGATTTTGATACTGGACATGACCCTGGGGAACCTAGCTCTTAACAGCTCCGCTGAAAAATTGTAGAGCCCTTCCACTTCACGTGAAGGTGGAGGAACAGCAAAGCTGTTATTTTTATAACGTCTAGGACAACCTCAAGGACAACTCCTAGGACAAACTCGAGAACAATCTCTAGGATGACTTCTCAAACGACTTCTAGGATGACCTCTCGGACGACTTCTAGGACGACCTCGAGAACAATGCCCAGAGATGATAACAAGGGATCAGGACTTCACCATCTAATAATGGCAAGGAAGGCGGACTCACGCTAGTTGCCCCTCTCTTTTCATTTTTATTTATTCATACTTGCCACGACCAATGCAGAGTTTTCTGTCAACATCCACGGACGCATTTTTTCCCAGATCCCAGCGCATAACAGCTTCACTGTAAAAAATGTTCTCGACGAGTTCCGAGTCTTTCCGGATGGCAACCGCTGAAGCGTTACAATTAATTTGTAAACTGATCATTTTATGGCTTGAGAATTTTCGGGTTCGAAGGGACCACGAAACAATCTTCTTTCAGCTAACTAGTGCGGTAGGATAGGTGGCCAAGTGGACTAGCGCACACCAGCTCAGAGCACGTGGAGCAAAAGCTGGCGCTGCAGAACCCAGAGATCCTGGGTTCAATCCCCAACCCTGCCCGTTTTGATCTCTACGAGCATCGTACCGGCGTGCAGTCGCGTATCACTACTGTGTGGTGCACATTAAAGATCCCAGGCTAGCGGTTGTACTGCGCTGGCTAAATTTCCCATCTACAGCTGGGAGACAAGTTGCCCGTTGAAACAGACTAAGTTCTGGGCTGTATAAACATACACACAACACACAATTAACTAGTGATCTCGATAGATACTTGGTGTCCAACAAGCGTGGAACAAGAATCAGTTTCTGCTTGAACATACTGTACTTGTTTTTGCAAAAAATTCATTTTTGATGCTTGCATTTCCAAATATTCCTGCTTTTGCCCCGACCAGTCGGCCCCACCCCAACCAAACAAAGGAAAGGATTATCTTTTGGCGAGGGACAACTCTTGCCGGAGGTTGAAGACAGGAAGAGACTGCAAACTTCATAAGCAGCAAAACAGAAAAAAGACAGGAACACTGCTAGAGTTATTTGAGAAGATGACGTGACTTGAAGGCGCCCCAGAGTTATCCCATTTCCCTGCCACCGGCTTTTGTGTCAGAGTTTTTTTCAATGGTTGAATGGTTAAATGGTTCTGGCACGGATCAGCCACGCCAAAAGAGTCCGCCATAAAGCGTGTTGCTGAATCGACGTCCCAGCAACTCACCAGAGCTGTCTATGTTGTCTTCGATCCATTTCTTGGTTCCGTGATAGTTGAACTTCCCGCCGGCCGAGACCAGAAACACAAGGTTGAACCTGATGACGCAACAAAAAAGGAGCGCGGATCACGTCAGCCCAGTGGCAAGGACAAGCACACACTTTTAGAATTTAGTCGGTAAATTCTATGGGCCCAAGCTCAGGCTTGAGCTTTGCAGCATTTCACAGAAACAAAAATTTGTGAAGACAAAAGATTCGAGAAAGAATAAGCAACCAAACAATTACAGGTCACTAAAAGCTTTGAGCTGATTTTCTTTTCATGATTTCTTGTGCAGAAAGGGCAAAGGTCTTGTAAGACAACTGAGAGTTTCTGCTGACATTGGTCCTTCAAAGGAACAATATAAAAATTTTAACACTTAAAAATGAGACGCTTACAATTCTCTGTAATGTCGAATTAGAGCGCGTTGCTCTAGAGGAGGAGGGGAGAGTACGGAGAGGAGAGTATGCCTCTCCTTCTCCTCTGTACCCTCTCACCCTCGTCTTCCTCTCCTTCTCCTTCCTCCGTCTTCCCCTCCCTTGTGGCCACTCATGACACTAGTGACCCTCGTGACGCCACTCGTGAAGGCCTCGTGAAGGTCACTGTGAAGGTTGTGACCTTCGTCGTGACCTTCACGATTGACCTTAGTGATGTCACGCGTGACCTTCATGAAGTCACGTTTCTCATAATGCAACGCGCAATTACGCTGACGGCGACGCCGCTCAAGCCAGAAACGGGCGCCTAAGCCCGTAAGAGCTGTGCTCTAAAATAATTTGCTGCTTGCATTTTTTATATTGTTTATCTTGGCCCAAGTAAGAAAAAATGTACCACCTTCCCCCGAAATACTGAAATTCTGCTGCATAATCGCAACAAAAAAGACATACTTCCCAGTCTGCGGCCGTCTGTGGCAGTCATGGGAACCACGGTGTGATGTCACAGTGAGTACACAAGTTTTTGTGGTGCCACATAACCATAGTCAGCCAAACCATTTCCTCTCCACTGCTACCCTTCCCCACAGAACTATCTTTTCTCTCGATCGCTCGCCACGACCTTCGGCAATGCTAAAAAAAAACACTGTGACATCACTCCAATGACGGCGTGAGAGTTTTGAGGGGTCCCTGATTTAGATTTGTTTCATTTTTTTTAAATAAAAACTACAGCAAGCAAGAAAAAAATAAGAAAACATGATTTTCTGTTCTCCATTTTCTAAGTGACATAGACCAGCTTTTCCAACTAATTGACCAAAGTCAGAAAATCGTTAGCACCCCTTTAGTTATGCTTTTCTCGGGTGTTTCCGTCATAGGAACTGCTCAAACCATCCCCCTTCTCGATGTTGTTGCAATAGGACCATTCAGAAGGCAGAAATTTGGTTAACATGCCCAAAAACAAATAGGTGTGTCTACTTTACTCATGGTTAGAGCCCTGTCCACCTGTGAATATCCACCATAAAACTGGAGGATGTGGATAAAAATGAATAAAATTTGCTGCTAGCAGATCAGATACAGATAAAAATGCATTGGGTCTGATTCAAAAGTTAGCAGATAGAATGGGGATGTGTAACATTTTTAGATATCTGAGGCATGCCATTTGCTCAAACAAAGACTGAGTGATGCTGTAATTACTACATCCCTCATTAAAGCAGTTAGGGCTTGCCTCACTGCTCTAAAGACAAATGGAGCTAAGTTTAAGTATTTTGTTGGAATTAACTCGCCCACAATGTTACCATAAATAGCATTCTGAATGGTAAACACACAAGACTTTGGCAACGAGGAGGTTTTTGTATGTGCAAGCAGACATACAGCAAAAGAGCTGGTCAAGGTACCTTGGTGTTGCACGCAGTGACACTAAAATTTTAACATTAACCCAAAAATAATTACATACTACAGGTTGGATATGGATAGAATTGAGCTTGCGGATGCAGTTATGATACGGTTTCAATGCAGGTGCCAAAATCACTAATCACTCCCGATGATGCATAAGCCATACGCCTGTTATACATAAACTATTGAATTAAACAACTTCGGTGTAGCAACAATAGACGAGGTGCACGAGGGGTTTTCTAGAAAGCCTATGCTTAAGTTAATGCTCTCTCAAAAATCTAATTCAACAAAGCATCAAAATAGCCTCAGATCAGGTGTTAATGACATTAACGACATCTCTTTTATTACCAGTGTCCCCCATGAGATGGCTATCAACTCTAGTCACTGAAGAACAGATCACATGGGTATCCAATGAAAAAAAACTATAGCGTATGCTGAAGATACTGGAGACTACTTACATGTAGGAATGCAAAAGCATTCCTACACGCAGCACACCACATCTTCCTTTTTCACACAGCGTTCCGGCGGTGACATTATGTTTCCCCACAGCGCAGGAGCAGCGAACCCTGCCGGCTCCACGGCTGCTGTGACGATGCATCTACGTTGCTGTGCTTTTTCTTTTTTGTGTTTTATTTCTAAAGCGCTTTCACTTTGACCTTGAGCGCCTCACCGGCTTCCGTGACGAAGCAACTGCGTTGCTGTGCTATTGGCCAATGGGAATTTAACTGCCGTTTCGCTGCTCCAGACAGTTACAGACAACGCCGGCTTCGCTCCATGGGACAGTGAATGCTTTCACGTTAAACTGCCGACTCACTGTGGATGCGTCCTGGAGCTCGTGTACAGCATGGAAAGCAGGCGAGCCAGTTCCAGAAGCGCCGCCACTCCACTCCCGTTGGAGTCAGCTCCAAACGCCAGAGCCTGCGTCACAAAAAAATTGGCTGCATGTTTGGTCATTCTGCCAAACACGTTTAATTAAGGGGGACACTACCTGGGAATGTCAACTTCGAAACCACTCACTCAGTCGCCATGATATTCGCAGGTGGTGTTTGTAGCCATATAGAAGGAGGGCATGCGAAGTTTTAGCCCTCTGAACTAATTTAATGAGCTACTATACCCCCCGAATGAAGTAAAGCATAGCTTTGCATGGAATCTGCTCAATGAATCTATCATTGAGAAAGGGTGTTGATAACCACATACAGTATAGACCACTTACAACGTAACCGCTTATAGTGCAGGACCGGGTATAACGCGGCTTTTTTAAACCACCGGTTCGCCTCCCATAAAACTCCATGTAATTACATACCGCTTAAAATGCAGGCGCGCGAAGGGAAATACCGGTTATACAGTTGAACCTCGATGTAACGAAGTCGGTAAAATTCGCAATTTACTTCGTTACATTGAAATTTCGCTAAATCGAAATTTGGCTTTAGCATGCAAAAACAAAAAAAATTCTGAAACATTTTACGGGTATGAAAACTCACCGAAAATGACATTTATTTAGGGGCAAAGTAGTCCGCGAGTTTTGCTTGCGCCTTGTCCGACAGTAGCAGCGGCGTCGGCGGCGTCATACGGCGTTCGAGCGGCCAGAGCGCTTGCACGGCATCTTGCTGCCCATGCGACGCCGTGTACCTCCTCAGTACGTCCATTGCGTCGAGCACTTCCCGAGTGCTCGTGATCTCGGCAGTTTCTTCAGGATGGCGTCCAAAACGTTTGCTTTCTCATCCAAAGAAAGAACTTTACGTTTCCTTATGGCAGCAAGCACGTAAGTGAACCGCCCGGTTAAAAAATAAAGCTGTTTAGTTTAGGCGGTGGCAATGTTTCCAACCTACACAGCACTCTTGACCGCACAGTTTACTTGCCCCCTTGCGCCCACAGTGTGCTTGCGCCTTTGCTTTACATCACGCTCGCAAGACGATAATCGGTTTTTTCGGTCTTCTCCTAGACGGCACTGCCCGTGCGGTCGCGCGGATCGCGCGGTCGCGCCATCACGTCGCTCCCCCGCTGAAGTCGGCTCCCGCGCTACCCGCGGTACAGTGGACCATGATGATCAGTGAATGTCAGTGGTGATGCTGTTATGCCGTGTTAACTTTTTGCTCGGCATTTTCTGGCCAGCCTCGCGGAATCCGCTTTGCCGCATGCCTCGCCGGCGCTACCGGCGCCGCGTCCTCGGGCAGCCTAGGAACGTTGAAAGGCCTGTCCCCGTGAAGTAACCTATCAAGCGCTCGCGTTTGCGCATAATTTTTTTTTTTTAACCACAATTTTTTTGCGAAGTTGTTTTTTAGAGTTGATTTATTTATTGCCTTCTATGGCAATGGCGCTTCGTTATATTGAAATAGCAGCAAAATAGACTTCGTTATATAGGGACTAAAATACATGGGGTCTATGGGCAAGAAATTATGAAAAATAAAATACTTCGTTAAATCGAGGATTTTGTTACATTGAAGTTCGTTATATCGAGGTTCGACTGTAGTGCGGTTTTCGGAACAGCCCGGCGACCGCGCCGGCTGACCGACGCAGAGAGCAGGCTTCCCTGTGCGACACTAGATAACGGCGCGAGCCGCAAGCGGCACTCGCGGGGCAAGGAGGTTGCTCGAAGAAGCGGGCAGAAGCGAAGAGAGAGGCTTCAGTTGCCATAGCAACGGAAGGACGCACGCACGTGTCGTTCACGTGCATGCGTCCCTCCGCTGCGTTGGAAAACAACCGCAACGACAGACCAATTGCATGTCGAGGAGAAGTGTTCGCGCGCGTTGCATGCCGGTCACGGGCCGACTGGCCGGCTGCTTCTATCCGCAATCATGGCGTCGGTTGTGATCGTCGACATAGACGGCGTGGTAGAGGCTCATGGTTCCGCGTAAAAGCGCTCTCCTTGACTGTGAATTTTCGTTGTGTGTCGCTATGATAACCCAGCACCAGAGCCGTATATGGGGAGAGTTTGGTCAGTCTATGATCTCGCCGCCGTAACGCTCTCCTCCCGAGCGAGCCAGTCAGCACGCGGTGCAGAGCGAGAGGCATGAGCGCATGCGCGCTAACTCCCGGCTGCTCGCAGCTGAGTGGGGAGAGCCGCCATCTTCGATCATTCTCCCGGCGGAATGCGTGGCATCGGCATCTAAATCTCGATTATTGCCTTTTATATCGCCAGCTCTGGCACGAAAATGACATTCTGTTATTCCTCGGTGGATTAAAAAGCTAATAAATGAAGTTTTTTCGGTGTATGGCCACAAACTTTTATTCAGGCGAAAAAGAAGCCGGCCCGTAGCAGACGACGCGTAGCCTCAGCAGCGCTCTTCTCCTACCAGTCTCCCGACAGCGTTGCTAAAAAATGGCGGTCGTCTCCTCTCTGCTCCCTTCTTTCTCTCTCGCTCCTTCGGCGCTCTCCCCCCTTTCATTTACTTTTCTCCTCTCCGGATCCTTCGTCGCCACACCCACTGGCCAAACTCTCTTAATATACGGCTCTGCCCAGCACGTACTAGAGGGGAAGATCCACCTACTCGTGCGGCGATGTTGTGGCGGCACTCTCAAGACGGCGGAAACGCCCGTGTCGTCGTGTTTGTTTACTTCGACTACAGTGGTGCTTTCTAAGCATTCGTGTTTACAAACATCGCCCGGATTTCTTATTTGGAGCATTTCATGCCTGTGCTCAAGTTGAAGGTATTACTGGCGCGTACCGTATAAAGGATGCGAATTTTCACGCGTTTTCATCGCCGGAGAAAAGTGATACGGGTTAGCAATCCTGAACGCTCGCAACGTCCGTCCGCAACCCGCGACGCCGTTAAAAGGCTGCGCCAGGCAAAAGTAGCTCATTTCTTTCAAAATGTGTGACACACTTGAGAGAAGTGTACTAGTATGGTGAAATAAAGACTTTAATCAAACTAAGCTTTATTTTTCATCTAACATAAAATAAATTCTTTTACAAAGGTAAGTTGTCTGATGGCATGCATTTTGGCCTGAAAAATTGATGTTTTGGTTATAGCACGGTACCGCTTATAGTGTGGATTTTCGCGACTCCCGCAACATACGTTATATGCGGTCTACACTGTAACATCATACTCTGATTGACTGTACTATGACCGAGCAACACCACTGGTGGCCATTGCTGGACACCAGATGACTCGTCGAACCCTATGAGAAAAAATGTGAAAAGCGAGAGTTCTCATTTGTCGTGCTATTTTTGCGAAACCTTGTAAAATTTTCTTCGCAAGACACTTCACACAAGCTTCAAAAAGTTCATTTTTATTCATTCCTCTCGTAGGCTTGCACGTATTGCCTGGTGTCAAGCAACGGCCACTGGCAGTGCCACCGTCGGGCTCCCAATCCGCGATCCAGCCGACCAGAATAGATATTGGTGCCATTGGGTAGCCTTGCAAACCCTTCTGATCTACTTATAGTTAGGCTGAAGGTTTCGCAGCACCTACGAGATGAAATCCAGATGTCTATGACAAATGGTCTCTATCGGAATTATCTCAATCCCCTGGTGAAAGAATAAAGCATAAGATACCTGCGTGCCCACATAAAGAATAAAGCATAAGATGCCTGCCCTTCCACTCCTCGTCATGCATGCTCTTCCTCCACCACCTGTTTCTGCTCCTCTCATTCTTGCCCTTTCCACCCCTCTCCACTCCGTGCACTTTCTCACACCACCTGCTTCTGCTCCTCCCGTTCCTGCGTGCTGGGTCCGTAGTTCAGTTGGCAGCGCACTCGACTTCCATGCTAGTGGCCGGGGTTCAAACCCTGGCACCGGTTGCAGTGTTTTTTAGGATTGTTTAGCAGTTATGAATTGACTGACCTAAACATTTTGTGCTTCTGTGGCTCTCAAGGTTGGCTGGCCGTATAAAGCTACCCCTTTGAGAACAATCCGTCTGCCTTTTTTCCGCCACACTGTTTTTTAAACTTGGGCAACGTACAGCCACCACTTTTGGTAGGTGATCAAGGTACAAACAAAAGCTCAGGCAAAACTATATTGCCTGAGCTCTCTGACACTGTATCTAAAAGCTCAAGAAGTCACATTTCCTAACAGCAACTTTTGCCAATTGCGCCCCCTCCATACTAAACACCAAAATGCCATTACCATTGTCAACAAGAGTATCGAGAAATTGAATGCCGACACCATAAACGTAGCTCGTTTAGTGTCTTTAGGTAATGCTAAGGGGGCAGTGACAATAAAAAAACAGCAAAAGCACTACTCACTGGGCTGATTCCATGAGTGTCATAGTGAGCCACGATCACCCCTGTGGGGAGCTGCTCCTCAACTCCAAACCCAGACAGCTTGCCCTGAAGAGCGAGGAAAAAAGATTTAACAGTCGAACACCTCTTCGCCACTTTCACTCAAGCAGCACTGAATGCTACAAATGCATTCAAACCATGGCCAACCCTTGGATTTCCACTTAAAAGGTGTGTGGACACATAAAACAACCCACTGAGAAATACATTTCTATAGTAGAACCCCAATTATATGACTTTTGTGGGACCGTGTGAAATTGTTGTATAATCCGTCAGTCCTATCATACGAGAAAACAACAATTACTGATACAGTAATCGGCCTCGCGCAAAAAAGACAAGCGGAGGTTTTAAATGATGTCTGAGCAAATAATCTGCTGTACTTTGACGAAGCAAAAACCGTCGGAACAAATTGGAGCAAAACCGTAGAATTGTACGGTAAAGGCGAGAGTAACTTTATTCTCACCGCAAAAGAAATCGGTAATCGCCTGCTGGACTGGTCGCGCAACATCAGCTTCAATCATTTCTAGCTTTTCTCGTGTTGTCAATGGTGTCTGTTTGCGAGTCATCATTTGCCGGCGTGCACATTGCGACGATGGGATCCTCGTCACTTTTCACGCTTTCCGAAAGCGGGAACGGCGGGAACCAGCGGAAGCGTGCTCAATTTCGGGAAAAGAAACGAGTTGGAGAAAGTGGCGCACAGAGGAGAGCGGGGGTAAACGAGAGATGAGAGAATGATGGAAAGAGCCGAGCAAGGACGCAACGCGAAAATGCCGAGGCATTTCACAACGCGGGGAGGAGAAGGGAAAGCACCGTCTCCTTCTCCCACCCGGCGCTGCAGCTGTCTTGGGTTGCCGGCGGCGTGTTTTTGGACCCTCTGAACTCTTCCGCATTGCTGCGCCGCCACCCCCCTCCTTGCGCAGCCGTCGAATTCGTCTTGCGTTTTTCGCCAGAACGTCGTACGACGCAGAACGCTTGGAATCGCGTGTTGTGTGAACCAAACTTTTAATACACTATTTCTATGGGGTGTTCGCCGGGACTGGGCAAATTGGTCATAAAATGTGGGATGTCACATAAACCGGGGACGCACAACCAAGGTTCCGCTGTATCGCTACTAAGTGACATGAACAAGCACGACTACGCATTCTTTTTTCCTTTGTCAATGGTTGTACAAAGCACGGTGCAGTTAGCATGAACAAGCGATCCCTGGTTTTTCATTGTTTCCTCATAGGAATGAAAGGCTATCATCAAAATTACTAGTGAGGTGAAAGGTACCCCTTTGGTTTACTAACTTAAGATGCAGAATTTGACGGTCGTCAGTAGTGTCTCAGTAAAAGGCAAATGAGTGCAGAGATTGCGTTTGCGCTAACAACGTTGCACAGCGTATGCTGCCGGACAGTATGAGCGTGAACCTTCAACTTGCAGCGCCCAGAGGCAGCGTTACGTCTCAACACGAATTTAGGCGTTCGAGGTCTTAACCTCTATGTCTAATGATAAGTTACGCCGGCAATTAGAGACAGCTCAGAGACGCTTTTTTTTTTTGACATTTGCTCTGGAATAATGGAACTTTAGCTACTTATAAAGTTTTGTATTCTCTTTTTAAAACAATGATTAGTTTTAGTGCAGCTTTCATAGTTTTGTGTTCCAGAGCAAATAAGTAAAAAGCGAAATGAGCAATAGCTCATTTTGCTTCTTATGAAGTCTAGAGTCCTAACAACTACCCAAATGCAGCATAAAATTTTCTAACCTAGAAGAGGAAGATAAAGATGTCATAAAGCCTTCCTTTTAGTTAGTTAAAATATGCAAAAACATAATTAAGATATTGCAATTCCAAATCAATACTGGCACGCCATGTATCCTCATGATAATACATTAAAGATTTCATTATGAAGGGAAGACGCCAAGTGCACAAGCTGAGAAGACAATACAAAGTTGCAAAACGAGAAAAATGCATTTGAAAGTTAGAAACTACGCTCCAAAAATCAGCTCCTTCATACAAAATTGGGACGTAACCAAGATAGGCTGTCCAGGAAACATCCAGAGTCAATAAAATCGTCCCTCCCTGTATCGTGTGACTTTTCTGGCCACTCTTGAACCATGTGCCATCGAACACCATTATGACATTAGCTGCTCCTCCCTATTTCGGTCTTCACGAGGTCACGGCTGGCAGTTTCTGTGGCAGGCAGCAGCATAAACTTTCTTGCCAGTGAAAGTCTTGTGGTGCACTGGTGTAAGCAGGCTGAGAATCACGCTGAAGTGCGAGAGTTTAGGGCGTTCAAGTTGACAAACGGCAAAACCCGCGCAAGCTCCCACTGTTGTAGCTTTGCTTTGCGTTTACGTTTCCATCTGAAGCAGCACATTTTGACGTAAACGTCGAAAGAAAAAACCCACTCAAGGCGCCCATTCTTCTTTAAGTGCAGCTTTAGGGAGAATGAAAAGCTTTCGTGTTTCCTAGCCCCACTTGCGACAAGAAGGGCAGATCACATCGCTCAGAAAGCACGCCGATGCCGCACACCACTAAACTCGCAAAGCCATGGCCACATGTTCAGTAAATGTTTTCGAAGAACCCAATCTTTTTTCGGAAGCACTGACAGATTTGAACGGAGTGCCGATTGCATTGAAAGAGCCGCCGCTGCCGTGGTTAGGCTTAGGTTAGGTAAATGGTTGTTTCTATAACATTCTCCACTTGCTTTTGAGACGCCTTTCTTAAAACTTGTACTTACTTCGGTAGTTCCAAATGCGAAAATCAAGCTTTTAAGTGTTGTCTATCGCAAATCAAATCGGAAAAATGTTGAAGGTACCGCTGCCCCAAGTGACAGCACCATTGAGCTACTGCGAGTTAGTCAGACATGATACCGACACCTAGACAGCACATGACACCTACAATTTTAAGTTTGTTCATCTACTAAAAAAAGTAGTCTGTTACGGATCATTAGACCTGTTGAGCACGCTTCTTACCGAGCACCAGCGCACTGCAGAGAAGCAACACTCGCGGAAGTGGGCTCCACGGGTGTTGCTTTTCTGCAGCACACCGGTGCCTGGTAAGCACGCCCAGCAGGGCCGCGGGAACAGAAAGTATGAATTACACGAAAACGCCGTTCGAATTAGGCGGCTTATAAATAAGCTGGAAACATATCGGAACAAACATAATCTTTTTAATTTGTTTGAATTACCCACGGGTATGAAATATCCGAGTTTGAATTATTGCAAGCCTACTGTATGTGCACGAGCACCTATGGGATCTGACTTGCGACACAAAGAACCTTATCTGCATGCTCGCACCTCCAAACCCTATTGTTTGACACGTCAAAACATGGCACTTCCTTCAGGTGCAAGTTCTATCGGCAATTAATTAACGGCATCGCAGACCTGTATGCTTGAGAGCTGGACATCCGACATGACTTTGGCTTGGCTTCCAGAGACGACCAGCTGGAATCCGCTTGCCTTCAGCATCCCCCACAGTTCTGAAAGCAGAGTTAACGCGTTGGAGGGCGTCATCATTCGTGCAGTGTGCCATAACGAGTCGCGTACCAACCTTAGCATGCAGGCTGCATAAATCTGAGTAGCAGAGCTGTCATTTTTTTCTTTTTTTTTAGAAAACTTCAATTATAACGAGGATTACGGTACACAGGAATATTAGAATAGTCACACCAGAATGAACAGTCCAAATTAACTGATTACAGTCACGGACAGTTCTACAGCACATATACACTAATGCTTCGAACCCACTTTGGATGGCTCGCAAAAGTCAACTTCTCGGTGTATTGCGCCGTAAAAAAAAAAAAATCTGTTCTGGATTATAAGCAGCGGTGTTCGCAGACGGTGTCATGACCGTGCATGCCCAGTTGTGTGTGCTGGCAAAAGTTAGTGCAATGTGAGACACAAAAGTTTGCGGATCCTCGACCGATCATCCCCGTACCAAAAATGTGCAGCCACGAGTATATTTAAATCTCTGCTTCCATATTCGGTATTTTCTTTCTATTATTAGTAAATTATCACACTTTTAGATTGTACATTAGAGATGCGCACCAGCATAGTGAAAGGTTTTGAAGGATTGTCTGCTAAGCTGAGCGCCGGCCTGCTCTAGACGCTTTCTACATATGTCGAAGGCACATGAGCACGGGCACGACACCGTCTGTAAATGCCACCGCAGATTGCCAAAAACAGATTTTTTTTGTTGTTTAAACGAGGTAGGTTGACTTACTCATATTTTCCACTCCAAGCTTCCACCACCTAGCAGCACCTCCGTAGTTAATCGTGGCCCCGTACGTTGAGAAACCAATGTTTGCAAGCTATCTGAAGTGGGTTCGAAGTGTTAGCATACATGCTGTAGTACAACGAGGCAGTCTTACAGTTGTCTCACGATACACGAGCATGCTGCCTTCTGTAGCATCTCGACTGTGCCCGTACGCTTGAAGGTCACGCGAAGAATGGGCATTGTTGAAAACGGAAATCCCATGACACAGGCAGGACGACGGGAAAACTCTTCGTCATTCTAAAGATACCAAATGTGTTCAATGAAAGAGTTAACGTTCTGCCCGAACGTTACGACCTCTCGTCACCTTGTTTATGGAGTGCTTGTGGGCCACAGACACTGGAACCTCTCAAACCAAGCTCAGAACTTGGCCCATATAGCGCCCTTCTCTTTTCTCCCACAACATTTTTGTTCTGCGTGAAGGTGCACGGCAGCACGGAGATGTCAGTATCTACAGCCTGGGCAAAATGAACTTAACGCACTTTAAACTGACCGCATAGCTTATCATGCTGGGATTTACTACAGAGGTGCTTGAAGTTAGTGCATTGATTAATTGAGAGTATGAATACATGAAACCTCCAGAGTCAAAAGAAATAAAATAAAAACTGGTTTTGTCTATGGTAAATTTAGCGCTAAACCTTTCATCCAGAAATCATCAGGACATTGCTGCTGGCTATTTCGGCGTTTACTACGATTGAAACACGCATGAAATGGAAAGAAAACAGAATTGGCTTACCTATTCTTCATTTCATTTGGCCCAAATAAGTGCCACAGAAACCCATAATATTTTTTAGTGTACATGCTAAGTAGGAAGAAAACAGTCTTTTTATTTTTATTTACTTAGCTGAGCCAATCTCTCCAAAATTATAGCGAAAGCTTCCACTAACTTCAGGCACTTCTGTAGTAAATCCTAGCGCCATAAATTAAGACACCGATTTATTCGGTCGGTTTAAAGAGCATTCGATCCATTTCAACCACGCGGTAGAACCGACAAACCTGATGGCAAAGCACTTAACGCAAAAACGAGATGGAGCACCATACTACAACGCAGCAAACCACTGCTTAGAGGATTTCCTAGACATAACCTCCCACACAGCTCTTAGCTATTAGACCCACCAGCCGTTCGACAACAGCACGATAGAGCAATGGTTAGTCTGTCAGCCATCAAACCCTAGGGCATGAATCTTCAAGAGACTAAGGTGGTCATAGTGTAAGAAAGTGGGACACCTGGTAGTCCATAACAGTGTAGATTGAAGAGCCAAAAAACCAATGAGTTAATAGAAGAGAAACATGCATACTGAGTGCTTGGCTTGTACATTACTCTTCTACTTGTCCACTGCCTTTTGACACTTTAATTCTCACAAACGTAGTATGAAATGGACGGTTGCTGCAGTGCATTGGCGGGCTAACGAATGAGGATTCAACCAGACACAAGGTTGTAGCATACCTTGGGCAACACTGCCCGAACGGCCGCTGTCCGCAGTCCGCTGGACGCTCCGATACATGTCGCTCAGTTCTTCCGTCTCGTAGGCAAAGTAGATGGGTATGGGGACCGTGTCCTCTTGCAAGATGTGCTCTAGCTCCATCAGCCTCTGCGCACGCCAATAAGCGACAGAATGCGCACGCGTGCGGACTTGATGTCCCACTTCGAGAGGCCTAAGGTTCCATCCCGGAAGGTGCCCCCCAAAAAAGTACAAGCGGGCAAGCCGAAAATCCTAAGGTAAGAAATGCAAAGGCTCCTGCGAAACTTCTGGGGGCAAAAAAAATCCGTCTCTGGTGAGTTTTTGGGTTAACCCCTTCATTGTTTCTAGTTTTTGGGAATTTCCAACCCTCAACTGCTTAATTGTTGTCTTCGAAATCATATTTCTAATGACAAATGAAATGGGAGCAAAATTTTAAAAAATTCAGTGCAGCCATCTGTTGCCGCAGTCGCAAATTAAGCCATGAGCAAGCCTGGTTCGTCCGAAACGGTTGAGTGCATGAACCGGGAGAAAGCAGACAAGCTGTACTCGTCTTAATTGGTTTGGGGACGGCTCCACATTGACGAGTTAGTCTCATCCAACACGGTTAAGGGGTTAAATTAGATGCCCAGAGAAGCACTGCCTACTAAATTTAACGGGAAAAAGATCCATGCTTCGTTAGTGATGTTACAACCGCCTGTGACATCACGTCTGTTTATGATGTTACGTCTGTCCGTAACATCAAATCTCCAGAATAAACCTCCCACCCCAAGAAAGAATGGATTGTTTATTAAAAGCCTGCCATTTCAAAATTCCTGTTACAGACCTTGATTCCCTCTAAGAACCCATAGGGGAATATGTCCCGATTCTACCATGCTCCCTAGGATGTGCTACGCAGTCACCTCATTCGAAACACTCAGTTACTCAAGGTGCTCCTTAACTAAGTCAAGCTTTTATAAGGAACAGACATATGAAACATTCGTTTAAAGTGATAGCAATTAGCAGCTCGTGTTGCAAAAAATCTGGCATCGGCATGACCAAAAAATGCGACAATGAAATGAGCGCAGCCACGTGTGACGTCGCACGTGGCTGTCACATCATGACCCTATCGACCCGCTAAATTTTTTCCCCCCGAATTTCACAGAAAATTTCCTTGCCAAATTTGTCAAAAAAATTTCTTGCAAAATTTTGAGGGAAATTTTTCTGCCAAATTTAGCAGAAAATTTCAATGAAAACGCGTGACGTCAAGTAACGCTACCGCCTAGAGCCCTAGACCATGCACACACACTTGCACGGCTTAAAAACGAGCACGGGTTTAATTAGAACTTAGAAGGCTTTGTGAACGGGGCCCGATAACGCTATCGCGTTCCACTCTTAAAGGCGAAGCTTAACTCTTTCCTGACCACGGGAAAAGTAGCAATTTTCAAAGGATCTGTGGAAACGCTTTTTTTTTCCTAACTAATTTGTGTATGAAGCAATATGACTCATCAAATTGTGGCCAATTTGTTCTTCTTTCAAAGGAAACTGAGGTTGGTATAATGCGAGGAAAAGACTCTAAAATTTTATTTCTTAAATTAACAATGTACTTGCAGAAGGCATATAAACACCAACACATGTACAGCTATTCAATTAAACGACAAATAAAAGAAAAATTCAGAATATACAAAATGTGCCCCACACCCACGGTTATTACTTCTGAAAGTTAGTGTACTCTAACTGACGTAGTCTATTTTTGGTTCGTCGGAGAATTCGCCTCCGTAACACGTACGCTTTTCAATGAAGGAATGCTTATATTGTTGAAATGCAGATAGTACACCACAGATCCGCAGCACAATGCTTTCTTTGCGTTCTACCTTGTTTTTGTCATAGCCTTGATTGCGGTTCCTTCATATTTAGCATTTCTCGTCCAACTTGTTGGAAACATGAAACGTGCACGCAGGCTCAGGACAGCACTGTAAATAATAGTGAGGCTTACCGACAACCATTTGTTAAGCAACACCTGTAACATCAATTAAAGAGTCTACTGAGCTCTTGAGGTCTAAAAATATGCCACAATACAGCTGAATTATTTAAATAAAGTCACCTTTGTTACAAAGAATGATGCAAGCAGTTAGTCATGTTAGACAAGTGCAACCGCCGTTCCCAAAACTATAAAGGTGAAAGCCTTATATATGTCCCATTACGGGAAAAGGCGTCGTCGGTGCTGTGCCTGAAAGATCGCCATGAAAATATGTCATCAAGCACGCGCCGCTCAAGGTCAAAGCAGACGCGCCTCAGAAATAAAACATAAAGAAAAGCACAGCAACGCAGATGCATCGTCACAGAAGCCGTGAAGCCGGCGGAGGCGCCACGTCTGCACAGTGGGGGAGCGTGATATCACCGCTGGAGAGCCGTGTGCAAAAGGAAGACGTGACACCGACTAAATTGCGTTTTGCGCCGTCAATACTGCTTTAACTTTTTTTTTTTTCTCGTAAAATTCATTTGTTGACACAGATGTTCTAACCAAACAGTTTAAAAAAAAAAACTTTGTCTTTTATCTTTTCAGTGGTTCTTAGTGTGTATATTTTTTTTTTTTTGACAGTCCATTAGTTTGTGATAAGGCTCAAACGGTGATCGATGGCCTATAGGCGTGGTCAGAAAAAAGATATTCGTCATTTAAGTTTTTTTTTTTTTTTTTCTTACGGTCTTAAGCTTTATAGCTCATTATCTGAATGGCATAGCCTACAGCCACTAGATAGGCTATGCCTCAAAGTAACGACATCTCGGCTACCTTATGCCTAAAATCACGGTTGCCAGTCATCTAAAGCTTTATTTGAAATTGCAAGAAATGCTTTCCTGTCCTCTAGAAGAGCTAAAACAGTCTGCAACAGAGCACAACAATATAGCCCGAGAATCCAGACACGCAAAGAAAGTTCTGGTAGTTGCATTTTTTAATCGTAACTATCGCCAGTTGCATAGCACGCACTGCGCCGGGCAACAAGATAGCAGTGCCCACAAGGCAATCGGGGAATGAGGTGTCCATACTCTAAGCGCACCTAATTTAGTGACTCAAGCCTCCCTGCAAAACAAAAGTGTCTCATCAAGCAGGACTCGACTGCACTTCGCTGGCAACGAGGATGGGATGAAAGCGACACAGACAGGCCATGGACCATTAAAAAGGTTGCCTGGCTACCTTCTGTTTCTCCGGTGAAATGGTGCTCGTGTTGACGGGCAGGAGGATGAGCAGCCCCGCCGCCCCCTGCTGCACCACCTCGCTGAACTGGCCATGCGTGAGGTCGCCCAGCCGGGCTATCACCACTTTCCGACCGTACGAGGACGAGTGTAATGTTCTTGCCTCCGTGTTCACCGCTGAGCTCCTGCAGCCTGCGGTGACGGGAAATAAAATTGTTCGACATAGACGCACTGTCAAATGAATGAAGTAATTGAACGTGAGGGCACTCGAAAGGGTCTTTAACGAGCAGCACTCGTTAACAAAATTAGGTGGATTTATTTCCCTGCAAAATTTAGCGAGGAAATTGGGACGTCACGTAACACCACGACATTGTGGCACCGCGCTACACCGTGATGATTTTCCCGCTAAATTCATCAGAGAAATTGATGTCATGTGGTCTGACGTGATGTGGTGTCGAGTCACATGACCACATCACGACCTCAGGTCGTATGACACCACGACTTAAAACTGTAGCAACCTCAATTTCCCTGCTAAATATAGCTTGAAAATTAATGTCACGTGACATTATAACGCTATGCAGTCAAGCTAACACGAACAAAAAAGGCAAAGGCAATGTTTCCATATAAAGCTATCACTACAAAGCCAAACCACTTCAGGCGGCGATGTCTCACTATTGGCAGTAAATAGGCGGGTAAAATGAAAAGGCCTCGAATGCCATCAGCCGTAGGCAACTGAACGCTCCCCAAGTTCAGCTCTCTGCAACAACCTTTAGGGCTTCTATCTTGCCGAATGTGCAGCGCCCTCGACGGTGCCGAAGAAACTGCTGCAAACATTCTGTACAGAACTGGCTGCAGCAGACGACGAAGGAAACATGGGTGAACGGGAGAGGGCAGGCAAGGTACTGTGCCTTCCCTTCCCCCTCTCGTTCTTTTCAGTGCCACGTGGCAGGCGCTGTGAAAACAAGGATCCAGGACGTTCCCGCAATTCATTGCGCACCGACTCCATGCACAGTCTTTTGGGAGTTCTGCAAAAGATCTATTGGCATTTTCCGGCTGGTTGTTAACATTCCGGCAAGGGTGTACAGTGCATTTTGGCCATACTAAGACCAAGACCAGTCGATGTGGTTAACTGAACGGCCATGTTGAGTAGCCTTCATGCTATCATCTTTGTGTGGCGATTTAACATCGGGAGGAGCAAAGCCCATAGAGGACGAAACAAATGATTTCTGTCATTTGTTACAGAATCTGGTAGTTATCGAGCATTCAGTGGTGGTAAAGAACACTATGACCAAATGGACGAATGAATGGTATTGGCTATACCGTCTGTATCGGGCAGTAGCTTCTGCCACCTCTCGATGGAATGACGATAGCAATATTTAACCCCGAAAAGTGGCCGCATTACAGTGGAGCATGCGGTATTTGTGTCAAAAAGGATTCCAAAGAAACTTCTCCAATCAGAGATGGGCAAAGAGCTCTCTACCCTGAAGCAGGCAGTTTGAAGTTGCAAGAGATAATCTAATTAAATAAGTCAAATTATAAATTCAAAAGAAAAAAAAATAGGAGCGGACTTGCGGTACGAGAAATGACGTTGATATGTGCAAAAAGCTACTGGCAAAAATGTTATGTTAAATTTACCGGTAGACACCTGACTCAAACGTGCAAGCAGTGTTGCCAGGTCTACTGATTTATCAGTAGATCTACTGATTTTGTTCCGGGTCTACTGGTTCACTGAAAAACAAGAAAATCTACTGACTTTTTTTTTTAGTAAACATATTAAAAATTTATTATATGGCCCTTTCAGTTCCCAGTGTCGCCCATCAAAGGAAACTCATAATGACCCAGAATAAAAAACGAAGCACTGGCTAGATGGCCCAGAAGCCCGTCCTATTCGAGTGACGTAGCCGTATATTCATCTAGCTATTCACCCAGAGCAGGTTCGGCAGGTTGGGCAGGTTCGACGGTGACATCCGGGCCAGAGCCATATATGGAGAGAGTTTGGCTAGTCTATGATCTTGCCGTAACGTCCCTCTCCCGAGTGAGCTAATCAGCCCGCGGCGCAGAGCGAGAGGTGTTTGCGCATGCGCCTGAACTCTCGGCTGCTCCTATACAATCTACTAGAATAGCTTCGAGTTGAGCGGAGAGAGCCGCAATTTTCATTCATTCGTTCGGCGGAATGCATGAGATCGACATCCAAATTTCAGTTATTTTCTTTTATTTGGCAGGCTGTGGCAAGAAAATGATATAATGCTATTCCTCGGTGGCTTAAAAAGCTAACGAATGAAGTTTCTCCACGTTTGAACGCAAACTTTGAGCCAGGCGAAAAAGAAATAAGCCCGTAGCAGACGACGCGTAGCCTCAACAGTGCTCCGGACCAACAGCGTTGCTTCAAAAACCTTCCACAGCCCAGTAAGGAAAGATAACAGCATGCAGAGGACTTCCATTGGACATGTTCGCGCGCTCTTGCCGGAGCGTCTTGTTTCGGTTTCGTTTCAATAATAGCGACAGGTGAACGTCGCACTGTCGCCTTCATCTGTGATCCCAAAAGTGCCTCAGTCTCGATTTCAAAGAATAATCCTCGAAACAGTCAATAATGACTAAAACAAAAACATTTATGGTGCCATTTTAATTTGTCCTTCATATAAAGTTACTCGAGAACTGGTCTTGATTTTTTCTTTAATTTTTATTTGTGTTTATTACCATGTTATTTGTTACTCTATACTATTTCTTCGAAGTGTGTATTAATGGAGATAGCAAAACATGGCAAAAAACACATTTCGTGGAATCTACTGATATTTGTGCAAATCTACTGACTTTTTGGGGATCAATCTGCTGACTTTTTTTTTCTCCATCTGGCAACACTGCGTGCAAGTAGTGTAACAAGTTCGAGTGTAATACATGAATATTCGGAACAAGTAAGCGCGCTACGGCAGGGTATAAATGATTGCCTTTCCAACCTAGGTAGGATACTGCGAACTTCCTCTTTGGCGTCGCGTCCGTGGAAGAACTTTGCAAAGACGTTAAACGCGCAGTTTTCATCGGCGCGACGGGTTCAATGTCCGATCTCCGCCCTTACCCGTTTCGATGAGCATCGCACCGGCGTGCGGACACAAATCACTAACGCGTGATGAACGTTAAAGAACCCCCTCCAGGCTACCAGTGGAACAGCACTGGCTAAATTTATCGTCTGCGGCGAAGACACCGGACGCCCATTAAAGGCCGACAAAACTCGCTGCCTAAACATACACACAACGCTATTCCAGCGTACGATAAGCAGTCGTACTTTCGGCCTCAAGATGACACGCAAATCGGAGCTGAGCACTTTATTGGAGAAGCCACTTACCGTGCGGCGATCCTTGCAAATCGTAGTGCTGCATGCGGTACACGGTGAACTCGTGGGCTCCGAGCACAGGCGTGACCGGCGAAATGGCAATTAAAAGTGGCACGAAAACGATCACGTAGAAAGGTAGGTTGCCCCGCAGGAACTCAAAGACGCCTTCGGCTCCGTCCAAATACATTGTGAAAGTCTCGAAGACGAGAAGTGAAGAAGATTTTTGTCGATGTTTTCCTCCTTGCGAGGATTCCCCCCAGTTACCCACTTCAACGAGATTTACCTCGCCGCTGCGAAAAAGTTGACCTCGCTCACCTTCCTCTCGGCTGACGATGATGATGTTGAAAAATGTAATACCTATTACTGTGGATCAATGGAAACCCCTAAGCTCTTAATCGGTCGTTGACTCGCGCCATCTAGTCATTACCCACGTGTCCCTTTTTTTTAATTTTTTTTTTCATTTTAAAGTTTGCGTTTTGTGTTTTCTTTTTTTTTTTAAACATTCAATAATTATGGTTAGTTTTAGGTTATCAAAACCTCGACAAAAGAAATCAGCTATTTTTTTTTACCTTGTTTTAAAATTTGTATTAAAAGACCAACGAGGTATAGGGCATTAGAGTGATAAACTGGCAGCTGAAAGTGACCCCCAATTGACCGCCGCCATGTTGTACAATTTTGACCACTAGACACGTGACCAGGCCAAATCTATGACGTAACCAGACCAAATCTCTGGCGTCAACGATAAGATGGCAGCGCCCAGTGCGTGTCGGAAGCGTTGTGGGCGTTGATCGGAGTGTGTGGATTTCGTGTGCGGAATTCGGTTTTTCAGGGTTTTGTATGCTCCCCGCGTAGGAATAACGTGAAGTAGGAGGGAATGAGGCTTTTATTTTTTATTTAATTCAGAGTAAGCCAGATTCGGTCCCGTGCTTCTCGTACGGGCTCGGATCACTACCTCGGACATCGCTCGGTCGTTCGAGTTTAATTAAAATATCCGCAATCGTTAACCACGGGAGCTCCTCCATAATCGCTGAGTCGAAGGATACGTCGAACCCATCCGGAACGCGGAGTCTAAAGGTATGTAGGACGTAACCAGAACGCGGAGTTCTAACGGTACGGCGGACGTGCCCGGGCAATTTTCTTAGCTCGACCGTCAAGATTCGCATTTGAAGCAGCGAGAGAAGTGTTGAAATCTCCGAACTGCTCGGTGCTGAGCTAACTACGGACCACTTCATTATGTGATCCGTAGTGACGTGAAAAAGACCGACGGCGGTCACTCCGGGGGACGGCGGCTCCCGGCCGCCTGCCGGGTGCCTTCTGTGAAGGGGCGACAGTCGTATAAGCAGTACTGTACCAGCTTCTCTTATAGTTATGTTGTTCTCAAGCAGCTTCCCGATCACTAAACCCCGCAAACGCGTGCCGAAATTTCAAAAGGTGTCTGCCAACCTGGAAAGCCTTGAACTCCCAGGGAATTTCGGATCATCTGGGAAAGTCGGGGAATCATTCAAAAAGTGGGCTAAATAAGGGAAGACGACTAGTGAAAGCGGCATGGCGGTTGCTCGTCGGCACGGCCATGCTGAATGACATTGCCGAAATGTCATCCTTCGACTCAAAAACTCAAGGAATTTGATCAAAATAGTCAGGGAATAACTTGAAAAATTCGGGGAATTTGAAATCAGTAGTTTGTTAGACACAATATTTGATTTTCTTGGCACTCCATGCGTTTTTACACACGACAGGCACACGCCCGTGTATCACACGGCAGCCAGGCCAAGCGGCTGCCAGCCCCTTGTGCAAGGTCGATAAGACGCAAGCGTGGAACGCTTTCGGACTGCTGTAAATACACCAGCGGGAGCGTCCGGCCGTAGTCCGACTGCCCACGCTAGGACACCCGACACAGACTCCGCGTCCTGGGTACGTCTGACGTATCTTTAGATTTTGCATCCTAGGTACGTCAGACCTATCTTTAGACACAGCGCCTGATAATAGTAGTGAATTGGGTCACGTTCAGTGCGCAAGTCACTTTATTACACTCGGAGAGCGGAATTCCATTCCCGTTGCGCAGGTAGTTCCCGAGCTAGGCATGCACTTGAAGACTATGTTTCACTCTTTCACAAAGCAAGCTTTGCGGGACCCCTTCGCCCTTGTGCACCCATTCGCAGGTCGTGTCGCCTTTCCTCACGTAACTCCCGCAGGTTCAGTGAGTTGCCGAGCCACTGCAGCCCTGGCGTCGCTCGGTACATACAAGAGGCGGCTCACGTCGGTCGTCCAGCAGCGTACTGGAGGGACGCAAAGCTAGCAGCCTCCTTGGTGCATGCAAGACGAGGCTGAGCAGAGCTCCAAGCTTTTCTGACGTACATGTGCACTCCAATGAGACCGGTGTCGCACCCCGATTCCTAGAGATGTGGTCGCACTGGCAGTCTTGTCGGTCCCTGGGGGCCGTCGAGGAGTGCCAGAAAGCAAAATTCCATCCTTCTTGCGCAGGTAGTTCCCCAGCTAGTCACTTCCTTGACGACGTTGCACCCTCTCTGGAAGCAAGCTTCGGGATGCTCTTGTGCACCCATTTGCAGGTCGTGTCGCCTTTGCTCACGTAACTCCCGCAGGTCCAGCGAGTTGCCGAGCCGCTGTAGCCCCGGCGTCGCTGGTCGTGCATCCTGGTCCTGGTCGTGCATCAACCACCGCTGCCCATTTCCGCTGAGTGCTTGGGTGTGGTAGCTTGACGTGCTTTCACAGAAAGCTGTATGCCTTTGCCGAGTAAAAATGGAGCGTGAGGGCAAACTTGCGCACATCCTCTGTACATGCGTTTTTGTTGCGCCTGACTCTTTTTAAGACGAGGTTGCGCATTGTGTTGGTGAATGCATTGTCAAGTATGTCAACTGCTGGCTTAGGAAGTCGTTTCCTCAGTTCACGGAGCAGCGTGTTCAGCTTCCTAATCCTGGCCGTCTTCCGATTGATCTTCTTCTTTGCCTGTTTCAACAGTTTCTTTGCCTTCTGCAGCTTTTGCCTACTCGTGGGCAGGACCCTGTGCAGTCGTGGTGACACAGCTGCGTACGAGTGGTCACCGAAGGAAGTGTTGCGTCGCTTGAACACAGCTTCAGGGGGAGTCTCTGACGTCGTAGCCTGAGAGGGGGAAGTAACCAGCTTTACATTGCTTCCAGAACCAGCAGCAGCTTGGGCCTCTCCTGGGGTTGGCTGATCAGTCGTCGATCCAGGCTGCCTCTCTGGAGGGTGAGACCTGTCAGCAGAACAACGAGCGGTGACATTCAAGACTGCCTGTATTCCACAAGACTGTGTGCCAGGGCATGCATTCTTGGCAGGTTATACCGTGCAGTGTGATATGTGACCACACCTTTTATGCGTTGGCCAGGACTGGCACTGACCCACAAAAAGGGGGTGCTGGGAGTTCTGGCTTATGAATAGGGTTCCATGTTTTGGGTGTTTTTTAATTTGTAAGTATTACCTGGCTCAGTGAGCAAAAGAAGAGCCGTGATCAAAGGGTGCAGCCAAAAGCTGTAACCAAAAGTTGTGTCCAAATGCCGTGACTAATGCGACGCAATCTAAGGAAAAAGAAAATAAGAGAAAAACAAACAGCTGTGCTCACGTTATCATTTTCGTCATGTGACTTAATTATTAATCACGTGGTCAAACAAAAAATAAACCTAGAAATAAATTATCCCCTGCCCGGTTTCGAACCTAGGCTCTTATGATCGCAAAACTAGTGTGCTATTCATTGGGTCAACCTTGCTCATTGACGTCAATATAACTCGGCCAATGGTAATGCTCACGCATTCTCACATCATGAAAGAAAGCTGAGGTGCTCTCGTAGTTTTATTTTTTTTTAAATGGGGGTGATTTTTTGGTGCTTATTTGTTCTCTTGAATTTTGAGCTTATCAGTGTCTTTTTTTGATATAGACTAAAACTCTGAGTGTCACGGTACTTATGTGGTAAAAGCAAATGCATATCTGTGGCGTTTCTAGGAGACACAACATGATATGCACTACTCATTGCTAAATGGAGCACATAAAAACAATTTCCAAAGAAAAAGAGCAGCCTCGCAGACAGTTCAGTGCGGTCGGTGTTGTGGTTCAACAAAAGTACAGACGTTTATCAAGGTTCCCTGCCGTGGAAAGTGCAATTTCTCTTCAAAGCAAGCTCAATTCGGGTTCTTTCGGTTTTTGCAGATTTCAAGAAAAATCGTTTGGAGGTCATATTTTTATGTATATCAGTATATACTGAAAACACGTAACCCACTTATAATTGAATGATTGTAAAAAGCATACAGCATGCCATGGAATTATTATAATGGTGGTGGTTGAAAGTGTTGCAAAGAACCTGAATGTTTTACTCGAACCTATCAACTTGATCCCAAAGATGCCACTTTTCTAGTGATTCGTTGACCACCACTTTCAGATACAAGAGACACACCTTTGCAAGTTGTGCAACTAGTCGCCCGAAGTACCTGAAAACTGGAGCTTGTTACTTCCCCCTCTCAGGCTACGACGTCAGAGACTCCCCCTGAAGCTGTGTTCAAGCGACGCAACACTTCCTTCGGTGACCACTCGTACGCAGCTGTGTCACCACGACTGCACAGGGTCCTGGCCACGAGTAGGCAAAAGCTGCAGAAGGCGAGGAAACTGTTGAAACAGGTAAAGAAGAAGATCAATCGGAAGACGGCCAGGATTAGGAAGCTGAACACGCTGCTCCATGAACTGAGGAAACGACTTCCTAAGCCAGCAGTTGACATACTTGACAATGCATTCACCAACACAATGCGCAACCTTGTCTTAAAAAGAGTCAGGCGCAACAAAAACGCATGTACAGAGGATGTGCGCAAGTTTGCCCTCACGCTCCATTTTTACTCGGCAAAGGCATACAGCTTTCTGCGAAAGCACGTCAAGCTACCACACCCAAGCACTCAGCGGAAATGGGCAGCGGTGGTTGATGCACGACCAGGACCAGGACGCACGACCAGCGACGCCGGGGCTACAGCGGCTCGGCAACTCGCTGGACCTGCGGGAGTTACGTGAGCAAAGGTGACACGACCTGCAAATGGGTGCACAAGAGCATCCCAAAGCTTGCTTCCAGAGAGGGTGCGACGTCGTCAAGGAAGTGACTAGCTGGGGAACTACCTGCGCAAGAAGGATGGAATTTTGCTTTCTGGCACTCCTCGACGGCCCCCAGGGACCGACAAGACTGCCAGTGCGACCACATCTCTAGGAATCGGGGTGCGACACCGGTCTCATTGGAGTGTACGTGCGTCAGAAGAGCTTGGAGCTCTGCTCAGCCTCGTCTTGCGTGCACCAAGGAGGCTGCTAGCTTTGCGTCCCTCCAGTACGCTGCTGGACGACCGACGTGAGCCGCCTCTTGTATGTACCGAGCGACGCCAGGGCTGCAGTGGCTCGGCAACTCACTGAACCTGCGGGAGTTGCGTGAGGAAAGGCGACACGACCTGCGAATGGGTGCACAAGGGCGGAGGGGTCCCGCAAAGCTTGCTTTATGAAAGAGTGAAACATAGTCTTCAAGTGCATGCCTAGCTCGGGAACTACCTGCGCAACGGGAATGGAATTCCGCTCTCCGAGTGTAATAAAGTGACTTGCGCACTGAACGTGACCCTATTCACTACTATTATCAGGCGCTGTGTCTAAAGATAGGTCTGACGTACCTAGGATGCAAAATCTAAAGATACGTCAGACGTACCCAGGACGCGGAGTCTGTGTCGGGTGTCCTAGCGTGGGCAGTCGGACTGCGGCCGGACGCTCCCGCTGGTGTATTTACAGCAGTCCGAAAGCGTTCCACGCTTGCGTCTTATCGACCTTGCACAAGGGGCTGGCAGCCGCTTGGCCTGGCTGCCGTGTGATACACGGGCGTGTGCCTGTTGTGTGTAAAAACGCGTGGAGTGCCAAGAAAATCAAACATTGTGTCTAACAAACTACTGATTTCAAATTCCCCGACTTTTTCAAGTTTTTCCCTGACTATTTTGATCAAATTCCTTGAGTTTTTGAGTCGAAGGATGACATTTCGGCAATGTCATTCAGCATGGCCGTGCCGACGAGCAACCGCCATGCCGCTTTCACTAGTCGTCTTCCCTTATTTAGCCCACTTTTTGAATGATTCCCCGACTTTCCCAGATGATCCGAAATTCCCTGGGAGTTCAGGGCTTTCCAGGTTGGCAGACACCTTTTGAAATTTCGGCACGCGTTTGCGGGGTTTAGTGATCGGGAAGCTGCTTGAGAACAAGATAACTATAAGAGAAGCTGGTACAGTACTGCTTACACGACTGTCGCCCCTTCACAGAAGGCACCCGGCAGGCGGCCGGGAGCCGCCGTCCCCCGGAGTGACCGCCGTCGGTCTTTTTCACGTCACTACGGATCACATAATGAAGTGGTCCGTAGTTAGCTCAGCACCGAGCAGTTCGGAGATTTCAACACTTCACTCGCTGCTTCAAATGCGAATCTTAACGGTCGAGCTAAGAAAATTGCCCGGGCACGTCCGCCGTACCGTTAGAACTCCGCGTTCTGGTTACGTCCTACATACCTTTAGACTCCGCGTTCCGGATGGGTTCGACGTACCCTTCGACTCAGCGATTATGGAGGAGCTCCCGTGGTTAACGATTGCGGATATTTTAATTAAACTCGAACGACCGAGCGATGTCCGAGGTAGTGATCCGAGCCCGTACCAGAAGCACGGGACCGAATCTGGCTTACTCTGAATTAAATAAAAAAAGAAAAGCCTCATTCCCTCGTACTTCACGTTATTCCTACGCGTGAGAGCACACAAAACCCTCAAAAACCGAATTCCGCTCACGAAATCCACACACTCCGATCAACGCCCACGACGCCCACAACGCTTCCGACACGCACTGGGCGCTGCCATCTTTTCGTTGACGCCAGAGATTTGGTCTGGTTACGTCATAGATTTGGCCTGGTCACGTGTCTAGTGGTCAAAATTGTACAACATGGCGGCGGCCAATTGGGGGTCACTTTTGCCTGATGAACGGTATACTAGTTTATCACTCTAAGGCCCTCTACCTCGTTGTAAAAGACAAACAAATATGAAATTGACTGGAGTGTTGAAACAGATGTCACATTTCTCACAGCTGCAGATTTATATTACACTTGCGTGCGTTATCTTTGTTCGTGAACTTTCGCATCAGAATATGCAAAATCGGCATTTACCTTACGTAAAAACACCGTCTTACATTATCAATCATGAGAAAAGTTTAAATGGATGACTACTACATCACAAAAACTGCAGGGTTGACAATACTGGCCGCATTGTGTTTTGAAGTTTCATCGATGCATTGCCATAGCATTTTACTGCAGTTCACTGCCTTCATCAAATATATTACCGAATGGTCATCATTTTATTATCAAGAGGTTAATGGACAAAGGTACATGCAATCTGCATGCAATCGTATCTGTAGACTGAGGATGCTCCACATGGTCAGAGTTCCATTAAAAATGTTTGATAAAAGACTCTGTCGTCGTTTCAAGACCGAGATCCTAAGAAAACTCATTTTGATAAACCGGGCTCAAAAATTGCATTTGACCAAACAACTTTTAGTGAAGTTGTTTAGTGAAGATGACTTTCATAAATATTTTTATAAAAAAATCAAAGATGTTTACAATTCTCTGTAATGCCAAATTAGAGCACAGCTCTTGGGGAGAAGGAGGGGAAGGTACGCAAGGGAGGGTCACGTGTGACGTCAAGAGGGTAAAATTTTCTGCTAAATTTAGCGGCGAAATTTTTCCGCTAAATTTAGCAGAAAAATTTTTCCACTAACTTTAGGAGGAAAATTTCCCCGCTAAATTTAGCAGAAAAATTTTCCCGCTGAATTTAGCGGAAAAATTTCCTGCCAAATGTAGCGGGAAAATTTGCCCTCGGGATGTCACACGTGACGTCGTTATGGGAAACGTCCCATAATGCAATGAGCAATTAAGCCGATGGTGATGCCACTCAAGTCGGAAACGAGCGCCTAAGAGCTGCGCTCTAAAATGGCTTTGTTTTATTGACAGGCATATGCAACACTTTATAGGGATCAGAGTGCCTGCTCTTCGCAATGCAGCTGTAACTTCGAGAATTAAAATGTGTTGGGCAAACCGCTGGTCCATCTTCCGCCAATATTATCACTAGCCTAGCAGCAACTTTGAGAAAATGATAGTCTAACAAATTTTTTATGAAGCGAATTGAGTACATGTCACTTCAGCTGTTTATGAAACACCGACCAAAATGCCATTTGTGTGGCCGCTCGAATAGTGCAGCAGGCCAATCAAAATGTGAACCCACATTTTGCATCTACCACAAGTTTTTCATCAGATAAGCATGCTGCAGCAGTGCATATGGTGCGTGTTTGTATGTACAAAAAAAACTATCTTGCATTGAACCAGTTGTACCACATCATTTAATAGTATTCATCAGTAGGAGCCATTAACACACACAAAATTCCCTGTCAATTCCAATGACTTTAGTAAAATGCATACTTACTTATGTTGTTCTTTTTTATACATGAAAAGATGCCATTTTATTTATGCGAGAGTTCTATACTATATGATTAGACAATGACCTTGCTTATCCATCCAGTAAATAGGGTATGCTCGAGAAAAAAAGTTTAAAATGCAAAACGGGCTGCAAAAACCTGCAATACAGAGCAAGCCGCAACTGCTCTCAAACGGTTATTTTCATTATGGGCATTGTCATATTGTACACATATTAAGGTCAGCCTGACAGGTAAAGTCTACACTTACTAGCTGCCGTCCCATGATAGAAAATATCCGTTTTTAATTTTTTATTCTTCCTATTAGACACGTTAAGAACTGCAAGGGATTTTTGTCCGGCTACTATGCATAGTTGCTGGATTCTGCACTCCGCTTCGAACTGCACCTTTCTATTTTGTGCGTGACATCTACGAGTGGAGAAGTAATGGGGTACTACATCTTAGTAGAGAGAGATCTGAACTCGCAACCGATTGGAAATTCAAAATAATGTTAACGGCAGCTGAAGATTGCTTGTCAAGTCGACACAAACCCTGCAGCGAGCTTACGCTGAGAGATTTATCGTTAGGATGACACATCTGTGCTTTCTCGATACTAGCATCAGTTTCTCACTTCTTCATCTATGACAAGTGATTTGTCCGTGGGAAACCAACTAAACGCAGTATAAAAAGCATTACCGAAAAATACCCATATAATACGAGGTTGCAAAACAAAGGAAACAATCGACAACAAGATGAATAGTTGACAATTCGAAAAGCTTTACATGTCAAGGTTACTTTGCTGAACATGGTGACAAGTGTCATGAGGAACTCAAAACCAACGTGATGAGAAAAACACACAAATTCAAAGAAGTTTGCGAATGACGCGACACGACGCTGAAATCGCGAGAGGCAATGTCACAAAGACTGACATTTCACAGACATTAACAAACACCCCAAAACGTTTGGCCTGTTTTTACACTGTTCCACTGGTTCCCCCAGAGTCAAGGTTTTTAAACTTTCTAATGAAACAGTTGTGCGTCTTTATGGGATCACAAGGTTTACGGCCACGTAACTGTCCGTCTCATAACATTAATTAATGGCTGAAATTTCTGAGACTTTGGTGTGAGAATGAGATGGTATTATGTAGATCATGAGAAGTGACATAAAAAGGCAAGCACCGTTAGGAACGTTTCTTGGACAAAAGCAATTGATTCTTTTTGCAAGTTTGTGGACTATCTTTAGATATAGTGAGCTTAACAACCCAAGTTAGAAAAACTTGGATAGGTAGATTGTCTAATATTAGACATCTGGAATTTGGATTCCAATGCAGAAGATTGAGATCCAGAACAGTCCTTGAACAGAAAAGTTTTGCTAATTTAGTTAACATGTAGATTCAACATTATCCAACCTTTGGTGTTGCAAAAACTAATAGCAGGTTTGTATGACAGCAGTCTCTAAAAACAGCCAACTTTTCTTCAGACTTTGCTCAAAAACCACCAGCTTTCTCTTCACATCCTCAAAAGTGTGCACACACAAAATTGCACATAAAAACACTGAAGCATGTTTGAGCAGTTTTAAATTATCTGAAATGTTTGGTGCCAGGGTTTGATTAAAAACGACAAGGTAGGATGCCTCACCAAGCTAAAAGAAGTAATTAATAAAAAGAAATGTGAAACATATAAATACTACAACAACACCATGCCTAAAAAAAAAAATCGAGCACCAGACATAAGTAGCGATGGAAATATGTTTTGTTATCATACGCCATCAAAGTCATTATACAATAATAGTTAAGAAGCTACAAGGCAACTACCTGTAGTTTTTCTGTCATACAGCTTAAAGACCTCTACACTGCATCCCTCTCCTATACTAGGGGAAACAATAACGAATGAAATGGGAGTTAAGCAACTTGTACTCCTGTAACAGAAATCAAATGTGTAAAATCGCCGTGGCTACACACATTGTTCACCTTATCAGCGCACAAACTTTGCAGAAAAGTGGGTAGGCCCCAAACTCGCTCTCAAAAATTTTGAAGCACAGGGTACAGAAAAAACAAATCTACGGAATAAAAACAGTCTTAATGTGAAACGAAGTTGCTTCATTCTGAAAACCCACACAAAACCGTACCCAAACCCCAACAGACATCATGGTCCCCCCCACACAAAAAAGGTTGTTGACCTTACCCTACACTTCTGGTCATTCCACAACGCAGGTTTGATTCGGAGCGAAGCCCTCCCTCGTAATTGTCGGTTGCACGCTCCGATCCGAAAAACGTGTTTGATGACGCTGACTCAGAAGCCATCGGATCATTTTCACTCCGACTTCAACTTGTCTCTTGCCAAGGTTAAAGAACGCCCAGTGGTTGAACTTGGTTCTGAACTCGCAGCACGACCCATGGCGCACTGGGCAAGTCCGCTTCCAACTCGCGACAAAACCTCGCTGCTTTGATGCTTTCATTGCTAACTTCTAAACACTGTTCAAACACTTGCAGTCCCTCCTCGACACAAAAGTAATTCGAGTCGTTGACACCAAAGGCACCCGGCCGTCGTTCAACGCCAGCGATGTATCGTCGACGCCGAAGCGATCCATCGCGTCGACTGCCGACACCCGTCGCGAATCCATTTTGAGCCGGCTCGAGGAACGCACGTCTCCGAGAGTCGCGCACGCAAAAGTTAAAACGCCCAAAACCTCACTTCCCCTTCGCGTGGAGCGCCACCACAAACTTGGATCCGAACGGCGACGCGTACTCGACGCCTGCGTCCTTGAACACCTTCCGCGGCACCCCGACGTCGCACAGGTAGAGTCCCGCCGCCGCCGCCACCCGGGGCTCGACAGCGAGCGGCAGCACGGGCATGAGCACCCACTGGGGTGTCAGGAGGGCGGACGCGGTGCCGCCACGGGGTGGCGGGTCTACGGACACCACGGGCGCCTTGCTCTGCTGCACCCAGTCGGCGACCAGGGCGGCGGATCGGGGGTCCACCCCCTTTGACCCGTCCACCGGGTCCAGACCGGAGAGGACCATGTCCACTGTGCAGCCCGCCAACTCTGCTCGAAATGGCAAAAAAAAATTATAACGAGGGTTTTTTGTAATTGTTACACATACGGGGGGAACCGAAAGTTGGGGTGCGAACGAATTGGTGGCGGAGGAACATATTTAGACTAAAAAGAACTCCAGATTAGGGGGAGCGACGCAACACTGAAATCTCGCCAAACTTGGCCGATGTTTACTGTCGAAAATCCTGTTTATATAGGCTTCGGGCACCTTCACATACAAAACAAAAACAACAACAAAAAAAGAGAATAGGAAAAAACAAAAGGGGACAGCAACTCATTTGGTGTGCCCCCACCCTTCCCATCCCCCCACTTTGAATTCTCCCAGCAGGAAACAGAAACTCTTTTCTTGCTTAGCTTTGATTCGAAGTCGCGTAGAAAAGGAAAGAAAGAAGGACGAGGCGACGTTTAGGAAAGTTGCGGTGGCCCAAGCCAGGAAGACGGGTGCCGAACTTGGGTGCAAGCCGTGTTGCTCATCGATTGCGATTCTGCGCATGACGGTTCTAATGCCAAATCGAAACGCAGCGGCAATTTTTTTAACAAGCTCCGACCAAACTTTATCCATAAAAGTAGAGCCACCACACACAGTGTGTCACTAAAAAAAGATTGCAATATATTTATTTTTTTTTGCCGCAAAAATAAATTACTGCGATATCCCATACGAATGCTTCCCCCGAGAGATCGCCCATCCAGTTTCTCTGGCTAAATATCCACAATATAAAAATTCCCAAGCGCCATCGTTTCGGACGTTGCCATCAGGCCGTCTGAAACCGTCGGACGTCGCCATCAGGCGACGTTCGACGGGAATCGCCTGAACCGTGCAATCGGTGGAACTGGTACGTGTGACGAGTGGGTCCGTAGCGTGGGTTCCTGCACTTTTGACCGTGAACTGCACGTGCGATATCGGTTCCCACGACATGCGAGTTGCACGCGCATATTTATTGCATCTTTAAATGTGAATCTGCCGCGTACGCAAGTTTGTGGCGGGTTCCGAAATTTATGTCCGCAATTCGCTCGGCGCGGCATCGGGTCCCGTGACACGTGATTTTGTACTACCAGGTTCCCGCATGTCCCTTGTACCCCGAAACGCAAATCCGCTGCGTCCGCAATCTGCAGTATCCCTTCATCTGACACGGAGGAGTTCGTAGCATATTCCCACAAGTTTATCTTATCGCAGAACACAAATGATCTGCATGTTTGCCAGAAATTGCAGGGAATGAGGCTTCATCGAAACCTACAAACTGAAGGAATATTGCGGTTATACCTTACAGATATGGACTCACACACAACCTAAAAAAGATTGCCGGGAGGCATGATACAGTATAGACCACTTACAACGTAACCGCTTATAGTGCAGGACCCGGTATAATGCGGTTTTTTTAAACCACCGGTTCGTCTCCCATAGGACTCCATGTAATTACATACCGCCTAAAATGCAGGCGCGCGAAGGGAAATACCGGTTATAGTGCGGTTTCTGGCACAGCCCGCCGGCCGCACCGACGACTGGAGCAGCGAGCGCGCTTCCCTGTGCGACACTAGATAACGGCGCCGACGGCGCGAGCAACAAGCGGCACTCGCGTGGCAGTTGCTCCAGAGCCGAGTTGCTCGAAGAAGCGGGAAGAAGCGAAAGGCTTCAGTTGCCATAGCGACGGAGGGACGCACGCACATGTCGTTCACGTGCGTCCGTCCCTCCGCTGCGTTGGAAACAAACAACCGCAGCGACAGACCAATCGCAGGTCGAGGAGAAGAGTTGCGCGCGTTACATGCCGGTCGCGGGCCGGCTGCATCTATCCGCAAACACGGCGTCGGTTGTGATCGTCGTCGTAGACGGCGTTCATCTCATCGGTCCGCGTAAAAGCGCTATCCTTGACTGTGAATTTTCGTTGTGTGTCGATATGATAACCCAGCACGTACTAGAAGGGAAGATCCACCTACTCGTGCGGCGATGTCGTGCGCTCTCAAGACGGCAGAAACGCCCGTGTCGTCGTTTGCTTACTTCGACTACAGTGGTGATTTCTAAGCATTTGTGTCCTCGAACATCGCCGGGACTATTTATTTGCGCATTTCATGCGTGCGCTCAAGTTCAAGGTATTACTGGCGCGTACCGTATGAAGGATGCGAATTTTCACGCGTTTTCATCTCCGAAGAAAAGTGATTAGGGTTAGCAATCCTGAACGCTCTCAACGTCCGTCCGCAACCCGCGATGCCCTTAAAAGGCTGTGCCAGGCAAAAGCCGCTCATTCCTTTCAAAATGTGTATCAGACTTGAGACAGAACTGTACTAGTCTGGTGAAATAAAGACTTTCCTCAAACTAAGCTTTATTTTTCATCTAATATAAAATAAATTCTTTTCACAAGTGTAAGTTGTCTCATGGCATGTATTTTGGCCTGAAAAATTGATGTTTTGGTTATAGTGCGGTACCGCTTATAGTGCGGATTTTCGCGACTCCCGCGACATACGTTATATACGGTCTACACTGTATTCGGGTTCTGTGCTCGGCACCAAACAAGGCGTACTCCATGTGCCGCAGAACAAATCAAGAGAAGAAACAATCCACAATAGGCCATATCCAAAATGTAGAGCGCCATCTATTAGCCCGCCGAGAACTACGTCCACCATCTTGTTAGTGGCAAGAAAGCGAAACCAGAGACCCAACCGGTAAAACCCCATGTAAACAAGGGTAACCGGACAAAAGCTCACCGGACAAAAGCTCACCGGACAGAAGCTCACCGAACAAAAGCTCACCGGACCAAAGCTCACCCGTTTTTTCACAGACCCGGACAAAAGCTCACCTCATTTTTTTTTTTTTTTTGCTATGTTGGGTGAAACACGGGCTAGGATAAAGTACGGACGCGATGGACATTGCACCATTTTTAGGAGAACTGGTATCCCATCCCATGCAAAGGTGTCGACAGATAATCCATAACAGGCAGAGAAGCAACGATTTGGGACCAAAATTTAGGTCACTGAAACTGAGTGGAGCTGATAAGATCAAGCTTGCTTGACTTATCAGCTCCACTCAGGAGCTGATAAGTCAAGCGTGACACAAGAATGCTCCGTATGCCGGAGCACCCTTGTGTCAAGCCCAAGAAACTTCGTGAACCGAAGTTTTTTAACCCGAAGAACGACCGAAGGAGCGATGTCACCCTTTGTCGGCCTCGCTTTTTCATTGTGCTTATGTCACGCTAAACGCACACATAAAGGTTAGGCACAACGTGTCTTCATTACTAATGCATTTGTTTTCTTGGGGCTCAGGTTAATATTTGAAATGAATGGCTACGAAAATTAAAATCATTCCGTCATTGAGCGTCGCAAACATATTTGAAATCAAGGATTATCTCAGGGTGTTGTGAAAAGGAAACTGAAGCAAAACTGTAATATACAAACCATTGAGTGGCGAAGTTTTAAAAATATTTTCAAGGAACGGGAGTGTGGCCTTTTGGACAGATGACCAATTTAGAAAGCTGTGCGGGACTTCGAATAGGCTCGCGTTCCTTCCATTACAGCTTGTGCCTGAAGAACTAACCTACATCAGAGAAAAGTGTACCGGTGACATCGGCGACATGCTGGACTACTTTGATTGAACGCATGTCAAGGGCGCCTTCCGTTATGCTTCTCCGGCAGCACCCAGAGAGAATTCTTCCCTTCGCCTGACTGTGCGCCGACGACTACCGGAGCTTCCCCCGGAACGGTGGAATACGTACGACGCCACTCTTCAAAATAAAGACCGGACATACACCTGCGCAGGATGAAGTAACGGGTTCCAGAAGTCTGTCGGCCACGCCCATCCAAGAGTCTAGATGCTGATTGAATGCCCAAAGGAAAATCAGGCGTTAGTAGCCACGGCATTGACACAAGTCCGCAGGGGTGAACCTCCAGAGAAGCAGGTGCGAAAAATGAAAGCCGTTTACAACTCCCTGTAACGCCGGATTAGAGCGCAGCTCTTGAGGAGGAGGATGGAAGGGTGCTGAGGGATAGATGACTCCCTGAGGTCACGTGACCTCAGGGGGGAGGGGGGGGTCATGCGACCTTAGGGGGGTAACCCTCATGACTTTCGTGAGGGTAACCCTTTTGAGGGTAACTAACCCTCGTAACCCTCGTGAGAGTTATGAGGGTTACCAGGGTTACTCTCTCATAACCCTCGCAACCCTCACGAGGGCTACGAGGGTTATGCGCGGTTACGCCGACGGCGAAGGCGACGCCGCTCAAGCCGGAAACGGACGCCTAAGAGCTGCGCTCTAAAACCACTGTGCGCCTGCAGAATCGTGTGAAAAATATTCTCGAGGGATTACAGGTACACCCAGATTTACCAAGACTGCTTGAGCAAGGGGGGGACTGCATTCGCTTCCAACCAATCGATAAATAAACTTGTTTCTAGTTTAACCCTTTAAGTGCCAAATTTTTTTTGTCCAAAAGTAACCTAAAAGTGCCAGATTTTTTTTTATTTTGAATTGTTACCATATTTGCTTGAATGTAATGCAACCACAATTGTAACGCAAGAAGTGACTTTTCACAGCGCAAAAAAAAAAAAAAAGAAAGAACACGAATGTAACGCGAGTTAAGTGAGGGGAAAAAAGTACCTTAGAAAGTACTACAACGTGGTCCGCGGAAGCCTTTTCGGCCGGGTTCACACTTGAAGAGCACTTCACGCTGGAGCCTCCACCCACAGATAGTCGATTCTGTCACATCTACCCGTCGAGCCGCGGAAGAGTTTCCGATTTCCTCAGCCATCATAATTGCACTTCTTTTAAAGCGGGCGTCGTACTGAGCTCGTCGCGTCGCCATTTGCTCGAGAGTACAGTCGCGGAAGCACGTAGCAGCAGCTCACAAAACACTGACAACACGGGCACATGGGTACGGTAACCCTAACAGAAAGAGAAAGCGTTGTGAAGGTAACCCGTAACCCTAACATGGGCGCAACGAGTCGCAAACAAGAATAGGATTTAACTGGCTGTTTCCAGCGTGTATATGTTGCCAGCACAAGATTGAAAGAT